CTATAACGCTATCGTAGCGTAGGCGCATCGCTACCGGTACGGGTTTATACTTATAATAATTGTTCCTTTAAGGGAAGTTAGCGCTACGTAAGAGGGGAGTAGGCGTCTCGAATAAGCGTTACTTACTTATAGTAGTCGTACTTGCGCTTAAACGCGCTAAAGACAGCGTTATAGCGATAGCTAATACGAAGGTGTGCTAACTACGTATAGCGGCGACAAGCCGTAGGTACCTTAACGGCGCGGCGCTTACTCGCCGACGCTTAAGCGGGGGTCGCYRGCGGGTTAGGTACGCGACGCTTACGGGGAGTACGTAGCGGCATAATAAAGAGTAGATATATAGAAGAGAAATCTATAAGGYAGAAAGAATGTTAATAAGRGGTAGTTGCTAGGGTAGGTTACTTAGTAAAYAACCTACTTAGAGATCTATAGATATAAGACCCTTACGGAYAGTAGCRGTAACGTATACGCCGCGTAGTAGGGGACTTATTAACCCTCTTATCGAGYAGCGGTCGTTAAGGGAATTAAACCCTYGCCCTTCTAGGTACGGYATTTAGCCTACTAGAAGGAGGATRAAGTTCCGAAAGCGGCTACTTCCTATATAGCTAGTTTAACTAGCCGGCTTTTATATAAATAGCCCGAAGGTTGCTTAGAAAATAGGCACTTYACTATATAGAGTCTACGGACCCCGAGCGCGACGTATACGACGCGCGCGCGCCTCTATTCCCTAAGTCCCCGAACTAAGGCTAGTTCGTATAGGGGGAAGGAGGTAATTGTAAGGGCCGYGTAAGAGCCCTTATAATAACAGGATTAATAGAGGTGGCTAGATTAACCAACCTTAGAGAAGGGAGTGTAATATAACCTAACTGCTTAGCGTAGGCTTAGCGCATGCATAACTCCTGCGTATAGCGCACATTTAACCTACAAGAATTAGTCTTATCTCTAATCGAGTAATTACGGGTGTCTAATACATTGCTACATCTTTACCCTTATAGTATAGGTATTAAGAAACGACTAAGAAAAGGAGAGTTCCTTAAGCGTTAAGAGGAATATAAAAAGATTATAAAGAAGGAGATTAATCGCTCGAACCTTAGAGTATATAGAATAATATTACTATAAACACACTTCCGTATAACCGATCGTACGCGGCTTACGCTTAGTAGGTTAGTATATTTATACGATATATATCTATAGGGTAGAAAGGGGTAGAAAGGGGTAGAAAGGGGTTTACTAATATACTGCTATATCGTAGGAAGCAACTATACGAGATAGCCCGCGAGGTCTATCCCGCTAGCCCGTATAATAGGGCTACGAAGTTTATACGTCGCCGTAGGAAGTATGTTACGCCTAGCCCTAATACAGTCTAGAGTATAGATATATACTATAAACTTAAGGACTATAGCTTTTAGATCTATGCTACTATTAATATAGATATACGGTTTATTCTATATACCTATCTTAGACCCTCTGCCCGTATAATAGTATCTATACTATCTAACTTTACGAAAGCTTATAAAAAGCTTACGAGAGTACCTCGTATTATTCGGATAGATAAGGGTAAAGAGACACTTCTTATAGCGTAGGCTTAATACTAATACGTAAGGACTATTCGTAGGCGTAAAGTACGCTTTCGCCGCTACTTTATATTTAGAATAAGCACTACTAATATCCGTATCGAGGTATAGTAGGGCTAGCTTATACGAGGAAGGTTTAAGGCATAGTATATAAGTATATAGAGCATATTATCTATATATGCTTTAGTAACGCTCCCGTTATATCCGAATCTAATTATACGGGTTAGGCTAATTAATCTTAATATTATAGGGCTTCTTTATAATATTAAAGAAGAAGGGGTGGTTTTATAAAGTAAAGAAGGCTAACCGTATTGCTATAAAGTATATCTACACACTTATTATACGGAAAGAACTAGCCTTATTCGTACATATATAGAATAAGCACCCCGTACGAAGACAATCTAATAGACCGCACATAAGAGGTAGTATACTAAGCTATCGCTATAACTAGGCAGAGAAGGAGGGAAGGCTAAGTATTAGGTATCTAATCGATAAGGCCTACTTTAATAGTCTTATAGAAGCTTGCGTAAAGTAGGATACGTTTATACTAGCGAACGTATATAATAGATCTTAAATTATTTGCTAATATATATAGATTCTAAGGAGTATATTTTATAGGAGATACTTAAGCTCTGCTTAAGTATTCTAAAGATAAAGGGCTTTCCGCTCGGTCGACTAAGCTCGTATAAGTTTGTACTAAGCGTATAAAAGCCGTAGTACTAGATCGCATACGAGAACCTCGTAGAAGAGCTACGTAAGGTTCCTAAGGATATACTATATAAGATATTAATTCCCCGCGGCGGTAGGAAGTAAGAAGGATTTTAGGTCGACTCGGAAGATATTATACAGGCGTTTCGCGATTAGTACGATAATAACCGCTCGCGTAAAGAGCTTAAGGAGGYACTAGAGGGTTTAATTAATAGAGAGCTTTTAAAAGAGAATAACTCGGAAAGTAGTAATAGCGATATATCGGAGGTTAATTATTAGTCGGATAAGTCGGAATAGATTATCGGTATAATAGGATTACGTTGCGTTCTAATACTCTAATAGGACTATATATACCGAGGATATATAGCTAATATGCTTCTATCCCTACTAGTATTAGCGGCCCCGGCTATAATCTCTATAAGAACTCTATAATAACTATATAACAAATTTATACGCCTATATATTTATATAATACTTATTAAGTAGCGTACGCTCTATCCCCCGTCTTTACGTAGTTATACCTATAGAGCGATAAAGGGTTACCCCTTTACTAAAATCCTCCTCTAACCCCCTTCCTATAGACGATATTCCTTCCTTTATACGAACGTATACGACGCTATATCTATAAGTCCGCTTTATACCGATAGGTTCTAAGAAGCAAGTAAAGAAAGTATAGAAGCGTATATACCCTACTCGGCCTTAATTCGACTATATAAAGTATATACTAGATAATAAGAAATATTACTTCTACGGCGATTATAACCTAATACCGCCGGTACCTTCGAATAAACCGATTATACGGGCGATACTAATACCGCTACGGACGAATACGCTATCCTTAAGCACTATGCTAATTATTATTAACTCTAATAAAAGCGAGATATTAGACGACGAGGTTCTTAACGGATATATTAGTAGGAGCCTCCTAGATAAAGCGTAGCTTACTAGTATAAAGACAACCTATATACGATAGATTAAGATCGAAAAGGAAGCGGCAATAAATCTACCGAAGCATAAGTACTATATAGGTAATCTACCCCCTAGCTAACGGTCGAAGGATAGTATTATAAAGGCTATCTCTATAATAGCAACCGTATAAGTTAGGTTTATTATTACGATTGTTATTACGAGATACTATATTGCCCTAGATAATCTAGATAAGATACTAAAGTAGAGCAGGTTAAAAAAAGGTAAGGGGTTCTCTAAGTATACTATATATATTATATACTATTATTACATTTATCTATACCGCCGTATAATTAATCGCTAATAGGATGTAGGAACGCCTAAGGACATCGCGGTACCGGATTATAATATTAAAGATATACTAGCTGCTATTCGTAGCTTCGGTAATAAACCGTATATTACTAAGGAGATAGAATATCCGGATAACACCTATATATATATTACGTAGTCGTATAATAACCGAGATAGGCCTATTTAACCTCTAGATATAGACTTTAAAAATAGGAAGCTAAGTCGTATCTTCCTAAACGATATTAATATAAAGGGCTAGCTATCTCGAAAGTAATATAAGGTATTCCTTATCTTTAAGAGACGTTCTATATCGTAGCCTACGGATAACCTATTATACGAGGCCGAGGTTAACGCAAATCTTACTAAGGCTACTACTACTCTAAAGAGTAAGGGCTCTTAGAAGAAGAAGAAGAAGGTAAAGTAAGAAGTTAAGGTAGAGTTAAAGCTAGTAGTTAAAGTAAAGCCGACCTTAGAAGTATATATACTATCTTTCTATATAAACGTTAGTAGATAAAGTCTAATACTAAATTCGATAGGAGAGTAAAGAGTAGGTTAATACTACTATAAAGTATAACGCTACCGATAATAGTAACGATAAGTCGCTACCTTCGTTTAGTAAGATATTTATATGTTTCTAGCCTATATAATTATAAAGATAGCTACTTACTCGATTATAGATTAAGGGAGAGCTAGAAATTAAAGGAGAGCTAGGAACCGAGGAAGTAGAGTAATAATATCCTACTCTAGGAGGTTTAAGCTATAAGCGGACGATCTCGAAGGTTTCGTAATTATCTAAGAACACGAGTAAACTACCTGCAAATTATACGCGTAATCGGTCGAAGCGTCGTTAATCTAAAAGGTTGCGATAAGAATAAAGATAGTAGGTACTTTATAAGTTTAAAAAGGAGTTGTTTTTAGTAGTTTCGTTCGTTCCTTTAATAGATATCTATATAATACTACTTTAATAGTCGTAAACGCATTATACGGGCGTATATCTACTTCTCGATCTGTCTACTATATAAAGGGAGTGCCTAATATATAGTTATAGATATAGGCTTTAGATAACTTTACTTCTACGATTAATCTATCGATTAGGACTATATCTATATACTAGATAAAGAGGCTATATCGGAAGCGCCCGTATAATAACTAAAAATCACCGCTAACCTCTCGGAACAGTTATGTTCCGAGGTGGCGTAAGTAGTGTACCTTAGTTCTACTAAAAAAAGATTGTTGCAGAGTTGTCGCTAAAAGCGCACCGTACTTCGCCCGCTCACCCGACATGTTCGGATGCGGGGGTTGCGAAAGTGGGGATACAATACCACGGCTGACGTACCACGCGGGCATTATTGTCCTTGTCTTCAGCGGACGATAATAAACTGTTGTTGTTGTTGTTGTTCTTCAAACCATCAAGGTCAATCAATTCATACAGCAAATCATATACTCCGACCAAAGCCTTGCAGAATGTCCACCAACCCGCAGCCAAAACCAGTGCCAAAGATTAATCTTCCCGAGGGTACTCAAACTTGCGAGCTCTTCGCTATTGACAGTACTTGTAATCTCATCTCAACTCCTGCAACTCTTATAGAGCCCCAGATTGATGGTCATGGTATGTTCGTGAACCGACTGCTATCTTGACAAATGCTTACTTTACAAGAATGGCTTAATCTCCCAACACTTACTTTCTACATCAAACATCCATCTGGAGCTCAAATTGCTTTCGATCTGGGCTGCAGAACGGATTGGGAAAACCATGTCCCTCATGTAGTTGAAGTTTTGAGTGGTCGTGTCCCAGGTCTTCGAGTTGAAAAAGAAGTTCCGGATATTCTCAAGGAAGGTGGAGTGGATCCCAATGAGCTCAAGGCTTTGATCCTTAGCCACTGGTAGGTGTTGCATGCATACAAACCCGGCAAAGTAGTAAGACAAACTTACCATGACATCTAACAGGCACTTTGATCACTGTGGCAACATTTCCCGTCTCAATCCGGCAACTGACCTGGTCGTTGGACCGGGCTTCAAGGACCGCTTCCTCCCAGGATATCCAGCCAAGGAAGATTCAGCGCTGGCTGAAGAACATTTCAAAGGTCGCAACGTCGTTGAAGCACCATTCAGCGATGCGTACAAGATCGGCGGCTACCAGGCCTATGATTATTTTGGAGACGGGAGCCTGGTGATTTTGAACGTTCCTGGCCACACAACGGGCCATATTTCGGCTCTGGTGAGGACCACTCCAGATTCGTATGTATTCCTGGGAGGGGACGTCTGTCACTTTGCAGGAGTGATTCGACCTTCAGGCCACATCCCTTTACCAGACCCAATCCCATCCATCACTGCACTGAACAAAAGATTTCCAACCCCTTGTCCGTGCTCGATCTTTACAGAATGCCATCCAGATCAAGAGAATAGCAGGACGGCAAGTCTACCCAGCACATAAACAGTGAGTGCAATGCTGATGACTCTCTCCAGAGTGCTTTCTACCGATGCTCGGCCGATCCAGCTCAGTCTTGGTACGAAGATCCCAATACAGCCATGGAGTCCATTCGGTCGCTCTTCGAATTTGACGCTCAGCCCAATGTGCTGGTGCTGCTTGCTCATGACACTGCGCCTTTTACCACGCTCAAATTCTTCCCCGAGGGAACAATCAACGACTGGCAGAGTAAAGGGTACAAGGAGTCAATGCATTGGTACTTTTTGAACGAATTGCCCTACCAAGGCAAAGGAGCTGGCCCGCATGTGGATGGCGTGTATAAGGGTGACAAGCGAGTCAAAGATCTCTATGGGAATGCAGTGTAAGGGCTCGAGGGCGGCAAGTATTGAACCCCACGCTCCAGAGAAGTCGGATGCTGTACGGTCAGCTGGAGATGAATTTTTTAATACTGACCTTGAAGCGAAGCCTGAATAGTTTTGATGTATTGAGCCTCTCTCCGAAAATCCGATGCCCTTTGTCAACGCTAGTTCATGCTGCCGTCTCCATGCCCGTGCATGCCGTAATCGAAGGACCAGAGACGCCTCCATCATCGCTTCATCTCGTGATATCAGGCGTCGCGAATCGTGTAGAGGACCACCTCTCAGATTTCTCTAGACCATGCAATCCGATGTTGCATAGTAGGCATCGTCGATGAAATTGTCCCGCGGATACCCTAGATCATATTGATGTCGAGCAGGAGAAGGCCAAGCTTGTGGCGAAACAAGAGAAAACCTCCCAATCTAAATTTAGTTATTCACAACCTTGAAAGTTTCAAATACAAGTTTCACTTCACCGCTAAGCCCAATTAGGGGCAGCAGCAACAACTACCTTAACTTCTCCTCCTTCTTGAACATCAAACTTCAAACAATCAACTTGCCTGATTAAATCAACACCACACACACACGCACAAAATGAACCTCCTATCAAAAATCATCTTCCTAACAACTCTCATATCCCTAACACTAGCCGCGAAACCACCACCTCAAGCATTACTCATCGTGAGTAACATTCCATTCCCCAAGAAACACACAAAACAAAAACTAAGTCAGGTAATCTTCAGGGCGACGATGGTCCTAGATTCCAATGCAGAGATATCACGTGTATAAAAGCACTAGGTGGTGATGGATCTTGTCRTTCAAGTGGTTGTGGTGGGGGTTGTGATGCTCAGATGAGTAAATGCGTGGATTGAGGGAGGGTTGATTACTTTCTCTGCACGCTTCATGAGTACCTTGTTTGGCGTTTGGTGGATCATCATGGGACGGCATGAGCATGAGCATGTGGTGGGGAAGTCACGATATGAATGATTGCAGTGCGTTGCATCTTTGGGAAAGTAACGACAAAGCAAAAAGGCGAATTAGATTCACCTCTCGACATGGTGTGGTTTTACTGGCTAGGTAGGCTTTAGTCAGAAGTTGATCTACTGATTTTGCATGGATTTTTCTCTGCATGTTCAGTACAAGCCAACAGCATCCTCCATCTCGACCTTTTCTGTCATCGTTTCCACGCTTTCATCACGGCCTGCTACCAGCAAGAGCCACATTCCTAGCATGCTGTCGCTCAAAAATCTTCTCCAAAACACCCTCCATCCATCTCCGCGGCCGATCTCCCAACTCACGTCCAGGATTCTTGAACAGCTTCCCCATAATCTCCTTCGCTTTGGCTCGCAAAACTTTCAACACAACCATAGTCCTCCAATCTCTGACCTTGAGCCGCAGTCTATTACCATCAATGATGATAACACCCGCGTACATGTGAAAGACTGCCTCTCCACACATGAGCAGTAGCGGCACTTCGGCAACAGGTGATGTTTCCTGTGCATTGGTGAAGCGAGAGGAGCTTTGCATGATGCTGTAAAAGGATAGGAATCGCACCTCTGGATTCAAGGAAGTCTTGTTCACAGATGTGGGATGCAGTCCAAGCGATTGGTTGTTGGCAATATTACGCCAGCCTTTGCCGTCCTGTTTGATGATCTTGGGGTAGAAAGACCAGGCGACCACAGATGAGGCGAGGGTGTCATTCTCGTCCGATTTGACATACTGCGGTGGGAGGGCCACAAAGTTGCGATGGCGAGCATTGTGGCGCATTCGGTTCAGAGCCGCTCGCTCTTCTGGGCCGAGATGGACAAAGCCGGCGTCTACCAGCGAGCTGAGAAGTTGAGCTTTCAGGTCTTCAATATTTCCAAGATTTTGCGGGCTGAGGAAGTTCTTATTGCACCACTGGAACTCGGACATTCCAGGTGTGGTACAGATCTTACGCCAAGTGGTATACGCATTGTRGACAGTCAGCAAGTCCGAGTCGCCGCGCTTGAAGCCCAGTCGGACGGTGTCCGCCTTGCCCTTTTGGTGCATCGGATTCAAGAATGGGGTCTTTGATGAAAGAGTTGCAGCTGCAGTCAATGCAAAATCCAAACACCCAAAATTACTTCCAAGGAGGATCAACTTTCCAAGCTGTGCGTCCAGAGGAAGTTTGGCCAGTTGGTTTCCAAGAGATGTGAGCTCTTCGCCTGTGGTAAGTGCGCCCACCTCAACAAGAGCATCGATAGCTCTTCTGATATTCCTGCTTGACGGAGGATCCAAAGCTTGTGACAAGGCATGCTCAATGTCTCCTAGCTTGCAGATTTTGACCCGCATCACAAGATCTTGCAGCGATAGACGCAGCATCTCTGGAGTCTGACTATCAACCATGAGTTGGTCATGGCGATACTTGGTGAACAAGTGAAAGCAGAGACCTTGCTGTACACGGCCTGCACGACCACGTCGCTGCTTTGCGTTGGCTCGCGCAATGAAGCTTTGGATCAGGCGGGACATCTGCCGGCGTTCGTCGAATCTCATCTCCTTATGCTTGCCAGTGTCAATCACACAAGTGACGTCAGGAATAGTGATACCAGTCTCAGCAATGTTTGTGGCGAGGACAATCTTACGAATGCCATGGGGTGGTATCTCAAACGCTGCTTGCTGATCCTCGCTCGAGAAGGTCGAGTGTAGAGGGAACACTCTCCACCCTTTCGCAAAGCGTGGGTGACCACAGAGCATATCGTTCACCTGTCGAATCTCTGCGATACCGGGAAGGAACACCAGGATGGCTTTGCTGAAATCCTGGTATTGTGGATGATGTCCAATCTTCTCAATGAGCTTCACTATCAAGCTGTAGTCGATGCGATACTCATCGTAATTCGCGAGAGTATTTTGTGTTCGCCTGCTGTAACCGCTGAGCTCGCCAGTGCCCTTCTCTTGGGTATCATCTTCGTTGGTGTCATCGTCAACGGCTGCAGTAGCTGCATCTTCGTTCGTATGCCCTGTCAGCTCGATGGCATCCTCAAGAAACTTGGCCTCGACCGGGAATGTTCGACCTGGCACGTCGATGATGGGAGCGCCATCAAGATACTCGGAGAATCTTTGAGCATTGACTGTCGCACTCATCAGGACGACCTTGAGGTCTGGCCGTTTTGTCATAAGTGAGCGTAGAACGATCAGGAGGAAGTCCGTATCGATGCTGCGTTCGTGGACCTGCCGAGTGTTAGAACAAAACTCGAAACGTATGTTGACAGCCTTGTTGTGGATCGTCTGCACGGAGCGCCTCAATCGAGCTGGGGTACAAATTCTCAATCATCACTTACTTCGTCGAGGATCAAATGGGTGATGTCGCTCAACCCATCAGAGTTTTCCAACATGCGCAAGACGATTCCGACAGTGGCATAAACGAGGCGTGTCTGTGACGTAGTCTGCGACTCTAGTCGAATGGCATATCCAACAAGAGAGCGGAAAGTGCCTACATCGCCCTTGTTCTCGCCCATTTCCTCGCTGACTCGTTGCGCGAGAGAGATCGCGGAGATACGTCGAGGTTCTGTGCAGTACACTTTGCATGGTCGTCCRTTCGACAATTCATTCTCCAAGATAAAAGCAGGCAATTGTGTTGACTTTCCACATCCGGTCTCTCCGCAGAGGATGGTGACCTGGTGGCGTTGTATCGTGTCCAGAGCGGCAGCCCGGAAGTGGAACATGGGCAAGTTCATGCGTCCAACAAGCATTCTCTGGTAGGCAGGAGTCGACGTTTTCCTTGCCCACATTTGTGCGAGTTCCTCAACAAATACGGGTTGTGCGGCTTTACGCAACTCTTGCTTCTTCACAGGAGTCGAAGCTCCACTGGCGCCGTCAAGGCGACGGCGAATGCTAGCATTGAATACAACTTCGTCCTCGTCGTCATCGTCTGGGCTGTGGTGTGTTTCGATAAGTGCTCGTACTTCCTTCACAGTTGCACATTCCTCAGCATGAATGTGACCTTGTTTGAGACGCGCAAATTCATCCCACAGATTACGGTACGCGGACGGAAGTCGCAGATGGGCTTTTTCTTCTTTTGGCGAGCCGGAGAATATCAGGAACAACGCTGCAGTAGCGATGTATGCCTCACTTTGCGCAACTTCAGGTGCCGCAACTCCCGTCATCGTAAAGGTAACCCGGCTGGGCTTGTAGTTGACGGCCACTTCTGGCAAATACTCACACTCGAACGCTTCCTGTTCCTTGGTCCATTGAATCGTCACCGAGTGTCGACTGGCGTACGTTGTGGGCGATACCATCTTGTAGCTTTGCTTACAGCGGGTGTCTCGTGCCTTGCATGCCTCCTCGAGAACGCGTTTCGGATTCATGCCGACGAGTTTCCCAAAGTCCCGCACTGTCACGTTGCCTCCAGTAGCTCCGTTCTCATCGGGCACAGAGTCGGTAACGCCCGGGAGAGCATCGAACATTCCGCTTAGTAGATCGCCATCTTCGCCATCAGCCGTCTCAGCGAGCAGCTCCTGGCCGAGCCGTTCAGCTTCATCGCTGACTCCGTTCTCCCGCTTGGCAGGTGATTCTGGTCGGTCCGAGGAAGACTTGGTAGCGCTTTGAAGATGCAGCTTCTTCCGCTCTGCAAGCTCGCGGGCGAGCTCGATCTTTTGAGTTCCCCAATGATAGTCGGCCTCTCGCTTGTCGAATAGAACGTCGCTCTCAATCTTCTGAAGCTTCGTTACTAGCTTACGCTCACCTGAAGTCCTGCTGGTACTAAGCGGCTGCGCTTTCGAAGCTTTCGATGTTTTACTCTTGCCGTTTGTGTCCGCAGAGGGGTTGATCTCGTATAGCTTTGCTTTGGTGCGCAGGTAGGCTGAGAGGAGTTCGTCGGGTTCCATGTCACTCTCCACGTCGCTCACCTCTACGGCATCATCAACTTCTACAGGCGAGTCGTCCTTCTCGCTGCGCGCGATTGCAGGGTCTCGCTTCTTCTTTGCAGTCTTCCAATCTTCGGGCTCCTCCATGTCAAGTGGCTCCTCAGATTCATCAGGCGACGCTGCGACAATCCTTTGCCTCTGATGGTCGTAGTGATCCAATTCTCCAGCCTCACAATGGAGTGCTAACCATTCCAAGCACTCCTCAAGACCCCATGCCAGGTTTGCAGATGACTCCGCAGGCGGTTCAGAAATGATCCAGCCCACAACCTCATTTACTCGATCCAAAGGAATGGCGAGATCGATGAGACATTGGCGAAGTTGCCATACCTTTGCAACCAAATCATCTCCGGTAGGGGAGCTAGACTTTTTTTCGGTGTTGGATTCATGCTTGAGATCGGCTAGGGTCAGATCGAGAATTTGCTGCATCAGCTCTTCGGGCAACCACTCTTTGACGGACAAAAAGTCGGCTTGGCCACGAAGAAGTCGCCTGTCAGTTTGAAGGCGCGTGACTTGTCGAGCAGTCTCTTTCTTGACTTTTGCGCCATGCTTTTCAACAAATTGCTGCAACTCCGAGGCCTCTAGCTGGGCCTCGAGTTCTTCGGGATTAAGCTCGTGAAGTTCCTTTTCTGATCCGGGGATCGCACCCTGTGTTGTTTGAACGGGAGTAGAAACGGCAGCAGATGCGGGATTGATAGGCGTTGCAACTGTTGACGGATCCGTGCTCGTGACTTCTGAACCACCTTCGGGCCTTGGCTTGGATGCGACTGATGTTGTGGCAAACCCTCGAGCGGGATTCACGACTGGCTTCTTCTTCTTCTTGTTCCCGCYCGCCATGATATCCTGAGGGGATCTGTCCGATCAAAGGTAGGTGGATTCGATGTTGTTTAGTCAAAAGTCCGTCCAAATTTTATAGCAGGTGCTGGTTCCCTTCCGTCTCGCCATGCGTGGGGTGATCTGCAGCCAAGAGTTCGTTAACGCTTCTGGAGATGTTTGTGAACAGCTGCTGCGCTTGCTTGAAAACAGACACCGCCTGCTTTGCCCTGTTTTTCCGGCACGAGATCGATTGGGAGAGGAGATTTGGATGAGTCGTGTGGTTTTATCCAACGGAGGAACGGAGACGACGACAGCGACAGCGACACACCCGACACGCTGGACTTGGATCCGAGTGTTTGGTCGATGAAAAGAATCTGAACGCAGACGACATCGCGTGTCCACGCACAACGACTTGACAATGGCGGATGGAGAAGCGGCGACCAATGGCGACCATGGAGGAATTGACATGTGGGAGGTCCGCCAGACTCTATTGTCCAACTCGACAAAGCGAAGAAGCGCAGAACTGAACAGCATTCGCGACAAGCTCGTGGACGGAGGTAGGTCATACATTTTGGCTCACTTTCAACTCACTCTTCTGGCGCATAGATCGGAAGAGCATAATTGACTCGTGCTGATTCCGTGCAGATATTCCACCCTCTCAGACACCCGCCATTCTGCGCACCCTCTTCGATACATATCCCCTCTATGTCGATACCAAATCACGGCAGGCTGTCGAAAGCTGTATATCTGCCATTGCATCATCCTCCGAAGCGCCAAAACTAATTCCAGGATTGGTAAAGGCAATACATGATGAGTCGAACAAGACGGCCATTGCGCCGGGCAATGCCTTTGTTCTGATCAGGTGGAGCTCGCTGCTGATACAACATGCGGCAAAGGAGAAGGACCAGTGGGAGCAGTGGGGATTGAAAGCGGTGGCTACGTTGACAAATGCCTTGAACACCTTGTTTGCCTCTACACCAAAAGGAAGCACCGCAGCAACCGCGCTGCGTGTAAGCAGACGTGCAATACRGACACTGTTGAAAGGCGCATTCGGCATAGCGGCAGTGGATATTTGCATCACGACTTTGACCGCAAAGTCTCCTTCTCCGACACCCAAGAATGCACTTGGATTGGGCATCATCGCCGGAGTGTGCAAGAGAGTATTGGACCGAGCGGCTGTTGTGGAGGCGAGGAAAGCGGACTACTTTGCCTTCTTTCTGCGGGAAATCCTTGGATCGCGAGTGCAACTCCCGCAATACATTGCTACTGCGCTTCACGACTTCTTCTCTTCTTTTGTATCCTTGGAGGACCTGAAGAAAGATGTCATTCCAGCCGTGGAGAAGGCGCTCCTGAGAGCTCCCGAAGTCGTTCTCAATGATCTGATAGGACCTGTATTGACAGCCCTGCCCCACGATCTCGACCTGTCCGAAATTCTGGCGGGCRATCTCATAAAGCCCCTACTTGCCAACATCAAGTCCTCAAACACATCAATACGAGAGGGCGCCGTTCGAACTTTCAGAACGCTCGCTACACGCTCACACGATGGAAATCTGGTGGAGAAGGCAGCTGATGAGATCCTAACTCCCTTGAAGTCGAATAAAGTCACTTCGGCCGACCAACGCGTGCTACATGCTGAGATGCTCGCCGCCTTGCAGCCAACTCCCTCGCTGGCTACCAAGATACCCCAAGGTCTCGTGACAGTCACCACTAAGGAAGCCAATGAGGTTGCCGCGGCAGCTGAAATCGGATGCATTGGAAAGTACGTGCAATTCGCACTTGAGAGTGGAGTGACGCTTGACAAGGCAACAACCGACGCATTCACAAAGGGCCTGGCGGAGAAACGCCTCCCAATGCGTCGACTGTGGGCCTTGCAGTTTGCAGAATGCGTATGGAGTCTCAACGCCACCAATCTCGAGAGTGAGGGTACTGCCGCATTCGTCGATGCGACCATTGGAAAGATGGTTGATGTGTTCAACGAGGTGCTTGCGAACCCACTCCCTGCCTTGCAGAATGGACAGGTACCTGTCGCTTGTGCTGCAGCGGCGCTCTCGATGGGCAAAGTACCGCAGATCTCATCTTTGAAGAATGCTTCGATTGTTAACAAGGCAGCAATTGGTGCAAAGGTGCTCGTCCTCGAACCAAAGCCCTCATTTTTGCTGAATCCTCGAGTTTACACGAAGCTGACACTCGAAGACGATCTTCGATGGTTCCTTCGCGCTGCTCTGTCTGCTTTCCCGAGTCTCGCGAAGTCGAACGACAATACTTCAATAGCGAAGGCCTGGGCGCAGGCCATAATTTTCTTGATCTCATCTACTACTGTTTCGCCGAAGCTAAGAACAGATGCGGCCAAAGCCCTGCAATCTCTCTACGCAGTCAATCCTAGCCAAGTCGCGGACGTCATCGTCAATGGGCTCTGGCAGTGGTGCGAAGATGTTGAGCTCGAAATAAAGGACAGTGCTGCCATGGCTGCTAAGAGTGGGCGCGAGGAGCTGTTCAGAGTGGTGCGGGCGATATGCTTAGATCCCGAAGTTGCTTCCAAAGCGGGCATCTCTTTAGACAAGTCTGCAGTTGAAGAGCAGCTGAGAAAGCTGCTCGTGTTGTGCAGGCCGCAGCTGATATCCAAGGCGTCCTGGATTGAGCTGTGCCTACGCACCGGTACTGATCCAGGTGGCCTCACGGTACAGCATTCCGAGGACATGCTCTCTCGAATACTTAAAGTAACGGAAACTCCTACCTGGAAACCGCTCAAGGCCTTTCAGTCTGCAGCCTGCAGCGCTGCAGCGGATCTCGCATTCGTTGCGCCGGAGGCTTTGACGCCACTTATCGTCGCACAGATTAGCTCGGATCTCAATCCCACGCAATTGGATGATATTGGTCCAACGGAGGCTGCCATATACCGTACGCCAGAGGGCACTGCCTTCATCGATGTCCTTTCAAAGCCGGGGCAGACCCGTGAGATCAGTAAGAATGACAAGGACTATGACACATTGAAATGGGAGGAGGAACTGCGGGCTCAATTGGCTCAGAAAAAGGGACAGGCTAAGAAGCTCACACCCGACGAACAGGCCAAGGTTCAAGCGCAGCTGACGAAAGAGTCTGCTATCCGCAAGAGCGTTGCAGACCTTGACGCCCGGCTGCGGCGTGGTATCGGCATCATTGGTGCTTTGTCGACAGGACCGCCCACAGAAGCCGAATCCTGGTTCGGACCTTCAGTGAAGCTACTGTTCGATGTTATCCAGGCCGGTGCCAGCCTTATACTGGGTGATGCAGCGTCATTGGGCTACCTACAATGTTCAGAAAAGATCTCATCCCGTCTTGGGCCATTGCGGCCATTCGTCGGCGTCGCCACATTACGCGCTGCGGGCATCACCATTCTGCCCGAGAACTTGCTCGCCGAACCTCTTGGAGATCTGGTCACTCGGATACTGTACCGCTTGAGATTTCTTGGAGAACAACGACCTTTCGATACCGTGTCCTTGAGCTACATCATGTCACTCATCTTCCTAGTCCTCGAAAACGGAGGCATTGACCGTGCACCCGGTGAGGACGCAGACGAGCAAATCGTTCTGGCCATTGAGTTTCTTTCCTACCACACCGAAACATGCAGTAACACCATCCTTCCTCGGGAGAAGCTTCTCAGCACCCTCATCGCTTCAATGCAAAAGTACACACAGCACTTCAAGCCCAGCAAGGACTGCTTCACGGACTTGTGTCGCCATCTTGCTGTCAACATCAGTCAAGTCGAGACCGATGTTGTCGTCAAAGGTGCCATTGTGGCAGATTCCTCGGTTCGTAGCGCCGTACTGCAGGCCATCAGCTCCGAGCTCGAGCTCGCAGACCGCGAATTTTACGTCGAAATCTGGCTGGCTTGCCATGACGATGACGAGGAGAATGCAACCATTGCGCATGAGATCTGGGAGGAGAATCAGCTCAAGGTTGTCCCGGATGCTGCAGAACAGTGCTTACCGTACCTTGAAGCAAAGGACTCCCAGCTTCGCCGCGCTGCTGCACGTGCCACCGCAGCGGCAGTCTCCAACCACCCATCAAAATTTGCAGACGTTGTGGCGAAATTGGAGGACTCTTACTTTGAGTCTGCGAAGCCCAAGAAGCCGCTGGTCGACAAGTACGGCATGCCACTTCAGAAAGAGATCACCGACACATGGGAGTCACGACATGGCTTTGCGCTTGCTTTCAAAGAGCTTGCCTCTGTCTTCCCCACTAATCAACTCTCTCAATTCTTGACCTTCTTGATTGAGAGAGGTCCCTTGAGTGACAAGCACAGCGGAGTTAGAGACAGCATGGTTGATGCCGCGACGACAGTCGTTTCAGTCCGCGGGAGTGATCAAGTCGAGCCTCTGATGAAGCTCTGTGAGGAGACCCTGGAAATTTCCAGCAATTCGCAAGCGCAGGACTTGGTGAACGAGGCTGTGGTCATCCTGTACGGTGCTCTGGCCCGTCATTTACCAAAAGGTGACGATCGGGTTCCCAAGGTGGTCAATCGCCTCCTCTCTACTCTGAGCACGCCATCCGAATCTGTCCAGTATGCCGTCGCACAGTGCTTGCCACCCTTGGTCCGCGCATCAAGCGACCAAGCAAGTCAATACCTCAAGCAAGTACTCGATGAGATGCTTCATTCCAAGAAGTATGCCGCGCGCCGTGGAGCAGCATATGGTCTGGCAGGTATCGTCAAGGGCAGAGGTATCTCCCTGTTAAAGGAAACAAGGCTCCTCTCAACATTAAGAAGCGCAGCTGAGAACAAGAAGGATACCAACGAGCGACAAGGTGCCTTCCTCGCGTTGGAGCTTCTCTCGCTCCTCTTGGGACGCATCTTCGAGCCTTATGTCATCCAGATTGTTCCCCAACTCCTGGTCGGTTTCGGTGACGCCAGCTCAGACGTCAGAGAGGCATGTCTCGATGCTGCAAAGACTTGCTTTGCCTCGTTGAGCTCTTTCGGCGTCAAGCAAGTGTTGCCAACTCTTCTGGAGGGTCTTGACGAGCAGCAATGGCGAAGCAAGAAGGGTGCATGCGATTCCTTGGGAGCCATGGCCTACCTTGACCCTCAGCAGCTGGCAGTCAGCCTACCAGAGATTATTCCACCACTCACAGAGGTCCTCAACGACAGTCACAAAGAAGTGCGGAGTTCTGCGAACCGCAGTCTACAACGTTTCGGAGAAGTCATCAGCAACCCAGAAGTCAAGAGTCAAGTCAACATCCTGCTCAAGGCGCTAAGCGATCCTACCAAATACACAAACGATGCGCTGGATGCTTTGATCAAGGTCAACTTCATTCATTACATCGATGCGCCCTCTTTGGCACTCGTCGTGCGTATCTTGGATCGTGGACTTGGCGATCGATCCGGTACGAAGAGAAAAGCCGCACAGATCATTGGCAGTCTCGCCCATCTCACAGAGCGCAAAGATCTCATTGCCCACTTGCCCATTCTCGTGGCTGGGCTGCGTGTTGCAATCGTCGATCCCGTCCCAACAACTCGCGCCACCGCTTCCAAAGCCCTCGGGTCGACTATTGAAAAACTGGGCGAGGATGCTCTGCCGGACTTGATTCCAAGCCTTATGGCAACTCTCAAATCCGATACTGGCGCTGGCGATCGTCTTGGATCCGCACAAGCTCTCAGTGAAGTGCTCGCTGGTCTTGGTACTAGTCGTCTCGAAGAGACTCTTCCCACCATCCTGCAGAACGTGTCAAGCTCCAAGGCTTCTGTACGGGAGGGCTTCATGTCACTATTCATCTTCTTGCCGGCTTGTTTCGGAAACAGCTTCGCCAACTATCTGTCGAAGATCATTCCTCCAATTTTGGCAGGACTCGCGGATGATGTTGAGTCGATCCGTGAGACGGCACTTCGGGCTGGACGTTTGCTTGTCAAGAACTTTGCTGCCCGCTCGGTTGATCTGCTGCTTCCTKAGCTGGAGCGCGGTCTTGCTGACGACAGTTACCGTATCCGTCTCAGCTCGGTCGAACTGGTTGGTGACCTGCTGTTCAACCTCACAGGTATCAGCGGTAAGACTGAAGCTGAAGATCTCGAAGAGAATGCCAACGAAGCCGGTGCATCACTACTGGAGATTCTTGGCGAAGAGAAGCGTAATCGCGTGCTGGCAGCTTTGTACATCTGTCGCTGCGACACGTCTGGTCTGGTCCGCACATCCGCTATGAACGTATGGAAGGCACTGGTTTCCGCTCCTCGAACACTCCGCGAGCTTGTCCCCACTCTCACTCAGCTCCTCATTCGGAGATTGGCGAGCTCCAATATGGAACAAAAAGTCATCGCTGGAAATGCTCTCGGCGAACTCATCCGCAAAGCAGGAGAAGGCGTGCTCGCTACTCTGCTGCCTGTCCTCGAGCAGGAGTTGCAGAGCTCTCACGATACCGATGCACGACAGGGTATCTGCATTGCTCTGCGCGAGCTCATCAACGCCGCCACTCCAGACGCACTCGAGGACTATGACAAGGTTCTCTACTCGGTCGTCCGTACCGCTTTAGTCGATACCAACAAGGACGTCAGAGATGCTGCCGCTGAGGCCTTTGACTCACTTCAAAAGGCACTTGGCAAGCGCGCTGTGGACCAAGTTCTACCACATCTGCTCAACTTGCTGCGCTCCGAGGATGACAAGGACAATGCGCTGTCAGCCCTGTTGACATTGCTGAACGAGCCTACACGGTCGAATATCATTCTACCGAATCTCCTGCCAACGCTTCTCACATCTCCAATCTCGGCTTTCAACGCCAATGCTATGGCTGAATTGGCTACAGTGGCAGGTGCATCCATGACAAGAAGGTTGCCAAACATCCTCAATTCGCTCATGGACAACATTGTGGCATGCAAGGACGAAGAGTTGCGATCGGAACTGAGCAGCGCATTCGACACAATTCTGCTCTCTGTTGACGAGTTCGACGGCCTCAACACCATGATGAGCGTCATGCTTGCACTCGCCAAGCACGATGACCACCGGAGACGTGCCAACGCCGACATGCACCTGGCACTGTTCTTTGAGCAGACTGACGTTGACTTCTCCCGCTACTACCCCAACCTCATCAGCGCACTTCTCATTGCCTTTGACGATAGTGACAAGGATGTTGTCAAGGCTGCATGGACGGCATTGAGTGCGCTCATGAAATGTTTGAAGAAAGAGGAGATGGAGTCACTCGTCGGGTCAACACGCCAGACGCTCAATCAAGTCGGGACTCCTGGGCACGATCTTCCCGGCTTCTCCTTGCCAAAGGGTATCAATGCCATTCTGCCGATATTCCTGCAGGGTTTGATGAATGGCTCCATGGAGCAGAGAACACAGGCTGCGCTTGCTCTATCTGACCTGATTGATCGCACCAGTCCAGATGGTCTGAAGCCGTTTGTGACGCAAATCACTGGACCGCTCATTCGTGTTGTCTCTGAGCGCTCGACGGAGCTCAAGGCTGCCATTCTCCTCACTCTCAACAACTTGCTTGAGAAGATCCCGACACTCCTCAAACCTTTCTTGCCACAATTGCAGAGAACCTTTGCCAAGTCTCTCGCGGATTCTTCTAGTGAAATACTCCGCTCCAGAGCTGCGAAGGCGCTCGGCACTCTCATCACCATGACGCCTCGCGTGGATCCTCTTATTGCAGAATTAGTGACAGGCTCAAAGACTTCAGATGCTGGCGTCAAGAATGCCATGCTCAAGGCGCTCTACGAGGTGGTTAGTAAGGCCGGCAAGAATATGGGGGATGTTTCCCGGAACTCGATCCTTGCGCTCATCGACTCCGAGACTGGCGACACAGATGATGCGATGAACATCACATACGCCAAGTTACTCGGCGCTTTGATCAAAGTCATGCCAAAGGAGTCCACCGTCACTCTTCTCAAGACCAGGGTTCTCACCACCCAATTCTCRCACTCATCCATCCTCGCCTTGAACGCGGTTCTGCTGGAAGCTCCAGAGGTGCTCACAGAGACTATGGATGATGTGACACGCACGGTTCTCGCGCAAGGTATTGCTAGCGCGCAGCCTTTTATTGCCAGCAATGCCGTACTTGCGGCTGGCAAATACCTCCTTCAGCCATGTAGCACCAAGTCGTTTGAGGCCACCAAGCCTTTGATACAAGCACTTGCCGACACTCTTACAGTCGGCAAGCCTGTGGACACTCGCCGTCTCTCGCTGGTCGTCATCCGGACATTGAGTCGCGAGAACAACGCCGAGCTCATTCGCCCTCATCTATCCACTCTTGTGCAGCCCATCTTCAAGAGCGTACGAGATCCGGTCATCCCGGTCAAGCTCACGGCAGAGGCGGCTTTCTTGGCTGTGTTTGATGTGGTGGAGGAAGAGGGCGCAGTGTTCGACAAGTACATGAATGGACCTGAGGGTAAGGAGCTCAATGCCACGGAGAGGAGAGCGATCTCGGAGTATTTCAAGAGAATTGCCTTGAGGTTGAGCTCACAGGCCAAGGAGAGAAAAGAGGCCGAGGGTGGACAGGGCGGATTGGGGTTGAGTAGCGATGAGAAGGAGGATGAGAGGGAGGTTTGGAGTGTGGGAAAGGTGGATCTGGGAAGCAGTGGCTTTGAGGACGAATAAACGACGCAAGGGAATTGTAGAACCTGTGTAGATATGGAAGAGCTGTCTTCTTCATCCTCCTTCTCCATCGTATTCCAACTTCCTGTGCCTTATTGTTGGCTGCTTAGTGGCGAGCACGTGCAAATAGAGTTTTATGGTCGTTGACCGGCTTCGGCTTCCACTTTGCCGGGCGGGACTTGCACTTGCACCGTCCTCGACAGATTCCAGTGTCACTCCAGTATCATGAGTATTTCCTATCTCATTTTCCATCAGTCTGATGTCTGATGCATCGTCGCCGGCGCTGAAGAAGCGCAAGTGGCACACCAAGGATCAGAACGGGTATGCCAAACCACCCACGACGAACATATTGACACCCAAAATTCTGACCAGAGAGATTGATCATGCAGCTGCACTCGATGTAAAGCGCGGCATGTCAAATGCGAAAAATCACAACCTTCATGTCGCAACTGCGTCAGACGCGGCGAAGAATGCATATACCCTGCATTGTATTCTGCTCCGCAGACGCCCATGCCGCCTGTGACCGATCCAGGCGATAGCGTAGAAACAGTGCCAGTGAGGGATACTTTCTCGGCATTGGATCTGGAATTATTTCATCGATTCATCACGACAGATTACCCTCCACTACCGGCTAATAGCACGCATATCTGGACTCAGATTATGTCTGTTTATGCGCACGATGTGAGTTTGATGAGGACGCTATCTGGACATACACTGAGACAGTCAGCATGATTTCCTTATGCACGCCATCCTCGCATGCGCAGCTACCAGTAGCACCGCGAATCCACGGCCTGGACTCCGTGTAAGCGCTCTCCACCATCGTATGATAGCGTTGAAATGTATCTGGGGTGCGATGGCCGTAGCCGACTCCAAAGAAACATCCTCAAGAACTCGAGATGCTCTACTCGGAGCCTGGTACCTATTAGCGATGCAATGTTTTCTTCTCCGAGACGGCTGGACCGATTTCTTTCCTTTGGTACGAGGTCTCAATCTCACCGCTGGTGCTATTCTACTTCAAGGAGGTAATACTGTGTGGGGTCTTGATAGACTTCATGTTACAAAGGAACGAATCCGTGATGAGTGGAAAGATGGAAGGATTGAGAGGCCACCTCGTCCGTTGATGTCTGGGATGATGGAGTCCTTTCGTCTGATGGAGACGGAATGTCAGTCGCATAGGGCACAAGCGTTTCTTCAGATAGTGATTACGGCCGCGACTGCTCTGGACCAAGACGAGACATGGAAAGGATACGAAACACTTCAATCCGTATGGGATCTACTTTCAAACGCCGATTGTGTGGACTCCAAAGCGCTGGAAGACTGTTCGAACCCCTCGTCGAGGATTTTAATGGCACATTGGCTAGCCATGATGCTCCTTCTGAAGCCATTCTACGATTTGGAAGTGGTGTTGGGAAAACAGGGCGTCATAGCACAATTACCGACCTGGATCTTTGATATTTCGCGAGTTGCTTCGAGAGATTCGGATAATACGGAAGAGATGCTACAGTGGCCTTTGCAGGTCGCTTCAGCGTATGCTTCTCGCAATCTTGCTCAAAGTCGACCGGAAAGCCAGGAAGGGGCGTTGTGAAGAAAAAAAAATTGTCTTGCTGTACTGTATCGAAACTTTTGGCTGGGATTTACAGGTGGTGTTTCGGCGGCAGCAAGGGAATTCTCGCATCTTGGGATTTCTCGACGATAATGATGGAATGGCCTGGGACCAGAATGTCCTCGGATCGATGGGAGAATACTGTATGACCATCCGTCAGATTCTGATAGCAACGCCTGGAAGGCGCATAATTGTATTGCCTAATCGCTTTTACTCAATTACTGCGGCCGGGGCGGTAGCATCTTTGTCTACCCGCAGAAGGCAGAAACGCACGCGTCTACGGGGCAAGAAGTGCCTCAGCAGCTTTGTGACAGTACTCAATGCCCTCCAGCCGGACACCTGGCAGCTTGATTCGCATTCACGATCCCGGCAATTTGCAGATTGCAGATTGCATTTGCCGCTTTTCTCCTAGATCGTTTCCGCCGCGAGGTCGAAGTATGAGGGGAAGGCCTCCTCTTGATCCTCATCCCGATTTCCGCACGGGAAATAAAGGCTCCATGCTCCGGGCTCAGATGTGTACTAATCAATCGAACATCCTGCCAGCGCGGAAGCTTCTCCGCTAGACGCACCGCGGGCGGGATTCAACGAGCATACCAATGCATGTGCCTACTGTGGTCATCATCTCCCTTATCGCTGCGACGCTCCCAGATGAATGAGATTGACGCAGACACCGCTTGCAGAGAAAGATTAACAAAAATCAACCAGTCGGTTGGGTTGCTCATTATGTTCGCAGCTGTCTTTGATCTGAGCAAACGTAACCGGAGTGACAAGGAGTGATATGAGTTGGCCATTTCATGATATCAGGATACTTAGCTCCAACCACTTCAACTATAAGCCTACTCAAAACAAAGGCAATACTAGCCCTTCGCGGACCCAGTAGATTGGCCCTTCCCAAACTCAAGTCCATCACGAACAGCTCCATCATTAACCCATTCCTCGATCCATCCAAGTGTAACTCTAAATCATCAGTTGTGAGCACCCACATACAGACAGAATGAATAATCCACACATAAAAAAAAGGACTTACTGGCTTCGTGTAGTATCAGCATACTCATCAATATCCCCAAACATCTGTTCCTTATACCAAGCATCATTCTTCATAGCTTTATAATGCTCCAGATCCTCAAAGACGACTTGGCCGATACAATCGTAATCCGCAACATTCGCCATTTGTCGATCGTAGACCTGTGGTAACATACCTCGCGTCTTGAGGGGGTTGTGAATCTTGTGCCCATTGTAATCAGCTCTTCTGATTGATGATTCAATTTAACTTGATTGTTTTGTGTTTGTTTGGACTTACTCACCATAGTCCATCTCTTAACTCCATATTTAACCATGAATTCCTTGGCCATTGGTGCCGAAATGGTATTCATGTGATGTCTGTAAGCTTCTTCGCTCATTCCTGGTTTACGGTAGCCTAGGATTGTTAGGCAGAGGTATTTGCTGGGCGTCTCTTGTTCTTTGGGATCCATGTTGAAGGAGGGAGGCTTCTTTCGTTGAAATTCGGTTGATTGATATCTAGACCTCTTCTTGTGGAGCGCTGAAGTGGAAGTATCATGATGAAGTCTTAAGCGCTAAAGTCGGAGTATATGGTGCTTCGGGATAAGTCGCATCATGCTCACGCCACGCTATGGAATGCTTGGCGGGCTTTTCCTCCGATGCATTGAGATATGGTGAATTGTTGAAATACTGTGTGCCAAAGGAGGATCTTCGTAGGTATCATCGATCAGCCAATGTTCTTGGGAACGATACCTTCTTCCGCCTTGAGCATCTGGTTCAGCCATGGTGCCATCGTAGGCCAAAGTAAAGAAATCGAAAGACGCTGTGTCTTCATGGCTCCTAAAGGGTCCCTAGTTCTCTGCAGTCACAGATACCTTTGTGCTTGACTAACAGTTCGTACATCGTAGTGGCGTCTCCAGCAGCCTCCACTCGTGTATTATTGATATCGAAAGTCGACACGCAGGAAACCTTCTCTGCTCTCCGTGTCAATACGATCAATCTCTTCAGTGTACATCCCACATCACAGCAAGTCTAGTGCATCCGACTCCGGGAACCCCATATCTTTCACGCATCCGGCGAAGAACTTATCTGAGGAATTTCGGTACCCACTCCATGCCAGCGGAGGAAGTAAAGGTTCKCGATGAGCTCTTTTGGAAGAGCCYGAAGCGCATGCGACTTGATGACAAAACCTAGTGTTGCCAATGAGACTGCTAAAGGCAAAGTTGAAGCCATGACTCTTTCTTGTGCGAGAAATTCGTGATGTAATGGAAGCCTTCAGGACCGAGGGTCGACTCTAGAAGCTGCTCCAGTGGAATTCGAAGATCAGGTAGGGAGCGACCTCAGTAGGATGGCCGGAAGACTATCTCATAATCATCTTGTTTCGCACCTGGATAGATCTTTCGAAAGAGATCGATTGCYTGTAATAGCGAGCGGTGTTCGATGTGATACTGGGACTATGATTAGTACGGATATCTTCTTACGTCAATCTTGATACTCACTTAAGGGCAGATGAATCGAAGTAGTTTACAATTTGGTGCTGCGTCATCTTTGCGCTTCAAGAGGTCACTATGAATCTAAAAGGAACATAGTATGTCGCTAGGCTTATAGTGTCAACTAGTTGAGGTATCAGATCAAAGGATTGTAAGGTGGTCCTGGTGAAAGATTGAAAAATCTGCTCCTAATCGATGCTGGACCCTGCATCCTCATTCAGATCTTCGTTGCAATGCATTTGTTGAACGATGGCATACCGATAGCATTGCGTGCAACACAAAATTGGAGATGACAGCCCTGACGAAGTCATTCACCCGGCGATCGGAATAACATTTATCCGTCCAAGCAATGGTCTTGAACCTTGGACTAAACCAATCCGAGTCTTGCGAGAATCACGGCTGATCTACAGCAATACCCAGATCCCAGGCATCATGGCAGTGACTTTTGTGTACAGGGCGAGGAGTCATTCGAAAGCGAAACAATGTCGCTCCTCTAACACAACAAATCCTGATTCAAACGATGCTTGAGAGATGACTGAGTTTGTATATTGACATTGGTCTTGTGAGACGGTGTCACTTGACTTGAAGTCCACGGGTTTGTTTGCTCAGAGCGATGTGCAAGCAGAATGGTGATCTGCAGATCTTGTGGCATGTGTTCATTCGGCACATACTGCCAATCACCGTCGATCTGAATCCGTTGTAGTTATTACAACGATAACCCAGATCAACTTCAATCAATCTACGTGTCTAAACTAACGCCAAGGTAGACTCGCCATGGCTTCTCTACCCCCAGACCTCCAGCCTACAACCCTACCTCTCACCGACCTCCACTCGACATCTCTCCCTTTTGCCAGCAACAATTCCACAATCCTCTCTCTTACAACCCTTCTACCCCCAACCGTTAAAACCACTAACACTACCTCACATACCACCCTCCTCCCAACCAACCTTCTAACCACAGCATCCATCCCAACAACCTTCACAACCTCAACCTCAACTTCAACAATTTCCAGCTCGAAAATATCCTCAAAAACATCCCCTTCATCATCATCATCATCTCCTACAACCACAGATTTTCCAGACTGGCCGAATTACACCAACTGCCAAGTCTGGAAATTCCACATCTCTCATAGGACTTGCTATRCCGCCACTTCAAAGGGAAGTCAAATCGGATAGATGGGTGATTGGGTATATTTTACTTCTGATTGTGGGTGTTGTTGCTTTTGGGTCGGGTGTTATTGGGGCGGTTAAGATGGTAGTTGGCTAATGAGTATGGATTATTAATGGTGGGAAGTTTTGTTGCTGAGGGGATGATGGGGAATGTAAGTTTTTGCTTTGAGCTCGAGGAGGATGTTACGGTGAGCGTTAATGGGAGGTCAGGCATAGATGAGGCTTGATGTTGTGTATGTAGAGATTGACAATGGGTGAATTCCAACTCACAATGTGCGTAATTGTCAGAGCTATCTGTATGAGGTTTCTTCCCAGCCATTGCCCGCCCCTTATCGGGACTCTCGTTGGTCTAGCAAGCGACTCTACTACTTGAGAGGCTTCTACCTTTCGACACAGAGGCTGTGTCGAGAACAGAGTCCTGAGAGCATTGGAAAGAGACTCAAAGACTCTTCATCCGATGAAGAATCGTTACATTGTAGCAAACGGAACGAACCTCCTTCTACAGTACATTAAACTAGGAAAAAACAAAGTGATCATCTAGATCACCAGATCTCCCGATCTTCGTCCCCGTGATTATTTCCCACGCAGTCACGCGGCTATATCTCCAACACAGCAGCGCCAATTCCCTACGCTCAACCGCCAACAACAACCACAAAAACGTCTCCTGAACAGAAGACGAAAAAAACAAATATCAAACAAGAAAATCCACCCTCAACCAATGCCATCAACCATATCATCCCTATCAAAACCAACAACCTTCAAAACCATAACCACCACCCCTAAATTCCACTCGCCTTCCCCTCTACAATTCTCACCCACTCTATCATCCCCCACAGCAATTCTCTCCACCACCACCTCATCTCACCCACTAAACATCCCCATCCTCTTCAACGAAAAAAAAGACTCCATCGACAGCAAAACACACGAAAATCTAGGAACCTCAGATAATTCCTCTCAAAAATAATGGCCTCCTTATGAGAAATGCCGCATTATAGCTTTCGGCCCTTCTAAGGGGGATTATTGCTATACTATCTATCTATCGAATTTCTCGGGCGGGACAGTTGGTTGGTATGATTTTTTGGGGGGGTTTTCTGGCTTTGTTTGTGGCTGGGGTTGTGGGAGGTGTTAGTAATTTTTATGCTAGGGGATGATGGGATTGAGGTGCAGCAGGCTCGAGGTGGAGGTTGGTTGGAGAGGGCCGTTGGGTGTTGTGATGTGATGGGGAATGGCTGGCGATGATTTTGTTGGTATTGACGTCGAGTTGGGAAATTTCTTACCGTGTTGTTGCGAGATATGCCGTCATATGGGTTGAGCATGGATTGGATTCATCATTATTTGCTACCATTTGTTTAGAGAACTCCATCTGTATAATTCCTTGTCTGACATCTTCACCCTACGCAGACATATCATGAGCATACGATTTCCATTAATCAACAGGCACTTGTAGCGATTACAAACGACGGCCCTYTCGGAGGTAATTAAAGACTTTTCGTGCTCGATTTCGGTTTGATAGGCCACAATCAGAATTTCATGGAGTTCGCGCACAACATATTACGATGCTGACATATTCGAGAAGCTCAACGTAAAAACCGGCGACGTAGTGCTGCAAGCTTGCCAAGAGCTTTTCGGTCGGGTCTTCACATGTGAAAGTGTGCATACGCTAAATCTCCTTTCAAAAAGGTGATGCTTCCTGGATAGACCTGCTGTCAATAGTTCAAGCGGTTCGATGTGGTCCATAGTTTTCGCTCCAGATGATGGATTTGGAGAGAAGTAACAGTAACACGCATGGACGTCGGAATCGAGAGATTTGACGTTGTATCATGAAGAGACGTAGCAGGGGAGACAAAGGATGTAGGGAGATGTTTGGACTACCAACCTGTGAGTTGATATGCGCTCGATTAACAGCCTTGCCTCTACTCTAGAACGATAAGATGAACTATGCATCAACTTATCATCAAGACTGATCAAGCTGATCGAGCACACTCAGCCTCGAAAACAAGACAACCATTCCCTCCCCATGGCTCATCAGATCCAGCCATTCATTCTCAACAGCATGTGAGTTCCTCGAAATCGCCATCATTTACACCAACCATCAAGCCTTGACACAAAGCTTCTTGTGCTTGGACCAATCTCCCTTTTGACAGTCCGTACCGCAATACTTCACGACACGACACTTGCCACACCGCATCAGCTTCCCATCATCTTCCTTACCGCAAGCCTTACATCCCAACTCGACTGGAAATCCAACTCCATCACAACCCTCCTGACAGCTCCACCATTCAGCGAACTTTTCAGGCGTCATACACGCGTGGAATGGTTCGTAAGTGTCAATCTCCGGGTCCGACAGAATGATGTCCGCCAAGGCACGCATCTCATCTTCAATGAAGCAAAACATTCCAATGAACTGCTCGAGTTCGAAGTCTGCACCATCAGCACGCCAGAAGGTGAAGTTTCCGGGCATGTCCATGACGATTGGGTGCTTATTTTGGGGACATTTCTTGACGGAAAAGTTGCGGAGAGCCTGATTCGTGGGGGAAATGGTGTGAGGTTTGTCGATTGCTCCATCCACCATGTCCTGCTGTTTGGTAGTCAATTCGGCCGTGGCGCAGTAGTAGAGTGGAAGTCCGAGGCGAGCTGTGGTGGGGAGTAGTCGTTTCGATGTCTTCTGGGACTCGTTGAGGTGGTCTTGTGGTAAGAGGAGGGGATAGCTGCATCCAGTGCTTTCCATGTCTAGAAGGCGACACGTAGCGATAATGGCTTTGCAGGCTGGCATCTTGTAGCGAGCGATCACTGAGTTCAAGTCAGCAAAATATGCGCGGCATCGAGGCGAGTGGCAGTGTGGCTCACGAGTCGGATCGAATAACGGCAGATCCCGTCGCACTGCTCAGGACAAGTGCGCGTACGGAGATGGGCAGCAGGGTTGCTAAGACGATGGAAGTCGGTGTCGAGGAGAGAAGAAGCTGAAGAAGTGTAGTTCCGTCGAGAACAAGATACAAACAAACAAAAACGATGACGGCACGGCGACTTCCGCCAAGGAACTCTCTACTACGAATCGAGCTTATTCATTCACATGCAAAAACCCAAAAATGGACAATTCTTCTSCCTTCGCCGTTCAAGCCCGTATGATAGTCACTGTGCATACTATTCTCTCTCCATTGACTGCTCATCCTTTTAAGGGATCCTCAAGCAGATATACTGGTCCCCCTTTGGCCGCCGCTCACTCATCCGATACAGTCCATGCATCCCTCTCAAGCCTTCGTACAGACCTTCTTATGTTCCCTCCAATCTTCCTTCTGGCACGCCTGGTTACAGTACTTCGCGATTTCGCACCTTCCACACCGCATGAAAGGGCCACTCGCATTTCCACATGCTTTGCAGGCGACGCAGACTGGACACTGCACATCCCTTGCCTCTTCGAGACTTCCGGCGCACGTATCCCAGAACTTCACAAATTCCTCCGGCTTCATATAGCGTTCGAAAAGCTCATAGTAGGTCTGCTTTGGCGGGAGTCCGGTCTGCTTCGACCGCTCCTCCACGTCCCGGATCATGCCGAAGAAAGTCTCAACGAATAACCAGATCATGTTGGCAACTCCGAGATGGAGCGGTTTGCCATCGACACGAGCAAGTAGGATGATGCCCTTCGTGCTCTCGCAATGCATAGTCATTGGGGAGGTCGAAGTCGTGGTGGCGGAGAGATGGTGCAATACCCCGTTTTCTGGCGTTGCTTCGAGATCGAGTCGAGTGATGAGAGCCTGCAGTATCGTTTCCTGCAGACATGGGTCTTCCAAGACGCAGAAATTGAGAGGTATGCCGATGCGGGCTGTGAGGTGTAGCAAACGGTCTGGCTTCATATCGGAGTTGGGTTCTTTTCGGAGAGGTATGAGGAAAGGGATTGCCATGGGCACGCCTTCAACTTTCTGATGGGTTTGAGGACCGCTCCAGATCAAGCCGCCGCGAGTGAGTACTTCCTTATCTGCCTTCGTGAGCATCTTGGATCGGACGGGAGACTGCATCAAGTYAGCAAGATTCGCTCGAGTTCCCAATCAACAGCCGCATAACTCACAAGTTCCGTTGGTGATGTTGTTCTTGGGCAGCAGAGATGCTGTGTGTGTGCTGTGATGAGGAGTCAAGGGTATGACTGTGATGTGGTGACGAGTGTCGCGGTGAAGTCGCGGACAAGACTAAGTCCACAAACGACAAACAACTTCAAATCCCTTCGTTGAGTGCAGGGATGAGAACCAGCTGCAAGACTCCTACCTTGCGGCGATGTGTTGCCAGAGACTCGTAGCGATGATCAAGCTCGAGATGTCGCTGATGTGAAGAAGATTGAATGCCGCGGTGGATCTTCTCAGCTTGAGTTGTTTTGATGACGTGGAAGAAGAAGAAGACGGAACCTTCGACGAGAAGCAAACAATCAAACAAAAAAAACAAGCCGCCAAGAACTTTGCCAAAATCTGGCTCAAGCTCACATTCACATGTCAAAAGCTTGACAGTAGCGAGCCTGACCTTGCGGATTACAGAATATACAACAATCGTGCAGAGACTGAGACAGGTCTTGATTAAGTAGATCAATGTAGTGCCATGCCGAATCGCATCTCTCCAAATCACAGCGAGTGGCGTGCACTTCAGGGACTTGGAACTTGGGCGGATCTTGACTTTGTAGATATGAGGACATGTTTAACGTGAATGCGGCGCAGTGTGGGCTATGAATTATGGATGGGATGGGTAAAAAGACCAAGAAAACAGCGATTGGATTTAATATTGGAGAATACTCTCCTACCTTAGAACAGGATATGTTCTTCACCCGCTCAATGGCTAGCTCAGGACAGCAGCCACCACCATGCATGCCYGACCTCCTTCCTGTCTGCAGTTTTCCTTCAGGCACTCCTCGATCAAGACTCATCCTCTTCCCTGCAGCTCATCCAATAGTGCTGCTGTATGATGTTCCCTAACAATTATTCTCATCCATTCTCAACACTCTCCTAATGCTTCGAACAAACCAGCTTGTGAGCACTCCAATGGAGCTTCTGACAATCCACACCACAATACTTCACCACCTCACACTTTCCACACCGCATCATCTTCCCCTCTTCAATCTTCCCACAAGCCTTGCAAGCCAGACTGACCGGACACTGCAACTTTCCCCTGGGAAAATCAGGACACTTCTTCTCATCCTCCCAGAACTTGATGAAATTCTCCGGCGTCATGTGAGCGTGAAAGGATTCATAGCTACGACTCAGGGACTCGGAGTCTGTAGCGTGCTGCTCCTTCGCCATAGAGTTCGTCATTGCTTCGTCAATGAACGCCCACATCGCATGCACGTCCTCGATATTCAGATAATCACCATCATCCATACGACCGAGCATGATGACAGGGTTTGGAAGTCCCGGAACGTCGTTGAAGGCAATGGTCTTGTCCACAGGAGATTTATTGATGGAGAGATGCTTCAATACGGCGTTGCAAGCGGTTCCAGCGAGGCCTGGATTCTCCTGGTGTTCCCGTATTTCTGGCTCCAAGCTAGTATCGAGAATCGCCTGGTTTCCGACGATGCCGAATCTGAGGGGTAGACCGAGACGAGCTGTCATGCGAAGGACTCTGGAGTGTTTGAGAGCCGTCTCCTTGCATCCTGGAGGAACAGTCATGGGCGAGAGGAAAGGTGTAAATCCTGATGGTTGAGATGCGCGATACATCCGCGGAGTACTAATGACGGTGAAGACGTGCCCGCCGTTGGAGGGAGGGAGCCGAGGGACTGGCTCTGGTCTCGGCGGCCATCTTGGAGCCTGTCTTGCTCAAGCTGCATCGATCAGCGAAAATGCGCGGTCATGTCGGCAGCAGCACTTACAAGTCTTGTTGCTTAATGATACAGCTACTCCCAGCAATGCGGTGCAATTCAAATTGTTGTGAAGATGTTTCTTGGAGGGAGAAAGTTGTGATTGTCGATGCAGTGAAGTGTAGGTAGCGAGCCGAACAAGCAAGGAAACGATAAACGGCGCAGCAGCAGCTTGCACTACCTCCTTCTCAGGCGCTCTTGTGTTTGTTCATTCCTTCCGTATATGTTGTGTTGTGCCTACTCTTCGAAAGTAGCAGGAGAGAATGAATCGTCATAGAGAAGAACACGGAATGGGTAAGTTTTAGAGAAAGTCCGATCCTCTCCTGGCACCTGCATTTCATCTCAGGGCCGTCAGCGCCTTGATCAGAGAAGGAATCGAATGTCGCTAGACACACTTCCCAACGACTCTCCCGGATAAGTCAACCACCTCGCCCTCCGATATCCCATCCAACGCAGCCAATTCTCCGCCATCACCTAGCACCCTCGCTCTCGACCTCATGCCCCCCTCACCTATCTCCGCCTTGCTACTTGTTACAAACCTGCTTGTGGACCTTCCAGTCTTTGACCTGGCATTCCCTATCACAGTACTTCACCACCTCGCACTTCCCGCATCGCGAGAAGGTGCCCTCTTCCTTCCCGCAAGCCTTACAGCCCAGCTTCACCGGACACTCCATACCATCATGCGCCATCTTGCAAATATCCGTGTCCCAAAACTCGACAAACTCCTCCGGTGTCATGCTAGCGCGGAAGCGAGCGACTTGTTTCCATGGTTCAGCAGCGTTAGGCAACGAATCGCCAATACTCGTTTTAAACTCGCCGTTGATGTAAGTCAACATGATAAGCAGTTGCGGGAAGGACAGATCCTCGCCGTCGACACGAGCGACGAAAAACGGTAGGTCTGTCGTGACCTTGAGCTGACTTATATTTCATGCCGCCGTTGAGCATGAATTTGATAGAGCACCACTTCAAAACGGGGTTCTCGGGCAAATCGATGAGTCCGAATGAGTCACGCTCAGCTCGCATCTCGGGCGTTGTGCCAAATTCCATGGCGTCTTCGCCTCCGAGATGAAGATTCAAAGGCAGGCCGAGGCGGGCTGTCAGGGAGAGTAGTTGGCTTCCCTCCCAGTTTGCTTCTTTAAGTTCTTTTGGCACTAATACACGCTCGACGTAGGCGACTGGATTTGCTCCATTTGCAGGCCATGCCAAAGAAGGACATCTGAGGATTTGGACGCTGCCCTCTGGGAAGACATTCGGATCGATCGCACCGTCGGCGCTGGCAGCCATCTTGCAGAGAGCAGGAGACTGCAGTGAGTCAGCAAGATTGCGCGACATCAAGATACATAGTAGCAGCGCGACTCACGGGTCTTGTTGATGATGTTGTCGTGCTATGATGAAGAGGATTGTCCGCAGCGCGAGATGTTGTTGTTGTTGTTGTAGTGAAGAAGATTTCAAATGGCGCATTTGAGAAAGAAGCAAACAAATGGCGCGGCAGATAGGCAGCAGCATCATGCCAAGACCTGTTCTCGAATTCAGGTCTTCCGTCTTTCACATGCTAGACGCTTGACCTCAATGAGTCAAGTTGATTGAAAATTTGGATTGAYTACCTGGGACTCTTACCACAGCTGCGCATGTGGGAGATCGTCAATAGGGGCAGTATCTTCAACTATCCTCTTTGTAAGGTACATTATGTGGACAGCATGGCAAGATGATGATGAATGTGTGTAGAAAGTGCGGCTTGGTGCAAGTACCTGACTGTGGTAGAGAAATTTCAAAGTCAAGGACTGGAAATGGAAAAAGGAAGACAGACAACCTGAAAAGCATTTGGTAGGATTCAGGCGTGAGCGATCTTTGAAGAATGCGAGGCGGCTTACGTGCTGCTGCTGCTGCTGCTGATTACCATGTGTAAGATGTACGAGGGAACCGTTGGTCGGAGCTTCGATAARGTAGAGGTGATGGATAAGGTGGTGACTTTCAAGCACACCTTACTTACGCTTGGTCTAATCTCCCTTCTGAGACTCCTCATCGCAATACTTTACCACATGACACTTTCCAGCTCACATCAGCTTCCCACCTTCCTTTTTCCTTGGAAAAAAGTCCTTTGTATAGCCAGCACTTCCGGTAAAAGCAGGCGTGGAGTATACTGAGGTATCGCTTCGTCTTACCTCCCCCCAAAGCAAAGCAATCCCCTTCCTGTCCTGCGTTTCATCAACCCGATGCATGAGGAGGAGGAGGAGGCGCACCACCCTGCAGATTCTTCAAAATCTCCGCCAGATTCGGCTGCTGTTGCTGCTGTTGAACTGCTCCTCCACCACCACCGCCCTGTTGCTGATGTCCCCAAGTCTCCGGTCCGGGGTACCCTGCATACCCTTGTGGCCCTCCCTGCGGATAACCTCCCACCGCAGCGGCATTACCACCATTCCAAGCTTGCTGCTGTCCTGCCTGGGCATATGATGCCTGCTGAGCTTGTTGAGCATATGCCTGCTGCTGTTGATGTTGTGGATGTTGTTGTTGGGCATGCTGAGGAAAGAAGGCGGGATTGATATATGCACCTCCAGGTGGCATTTGCTGCTGGGGAGGATACGTGACTGCAGGAGGAGCTTGTTGAGGTTGTCCGTATTGGAATTGATATCCTCCAAACTGATAGGTCTGCGCTTGTGGCTGCTGTTGCTGCGGGAGAGGAGGGGTTTCCAGTAAAGCACCCTGAGGAGCCGTCGGTTTGCTCGGAAGACCATGTGACACGGCCTGCTTTGGCTGTGCTGTGACAACAGAAGAAGAATTATGACGATCTGGAAAGGAATGTGCGTTGCCTCGGAATTGGTGGTTGTCGTTGTTTCCTCCTCTTCCTCTCCCTCCTCTGCCGCCGCCGCGATCTCCGCCTCGTCCACGATCACCACCTCTCCCTCTCCCGCCGCCTCGATCCCCACGTCCACGTCCCCGACCTTCTGCGCCTCCTCTTGAAGATGCYCCTCCTCTAGGAGCAGATTGTGGAGGAGGAACACCACCAGCCATCAGTTGGGCCAGATTCTCGGGCCTCTTCAACGGTTCGTAGAATTCCTGCGCGGGCTCTCCTGCTTCCACGTGGTCGTCATCATCATAACTCATGCCGCCTCCATATTGCTGCATGGGGGCATCTCCCTCGCGTGGTGGATATTGTCCAGAATCATGGCCGGGAGCGCCGAATGATCTCCCTCCTCGTCCTCTACCGCCCCTACCTCCCRCCGCACCACCACCTCTCGCGGCTTGCTTGGCTTGTTTCCTCGCTCTCTTGGCTTCCGCTTCCGCCTCATCGTCGGAGAATTCGGCCTCGTGGTCTGCGACTTCTTCATCGTGAATGTTGCTCGCGTCTGTACCTTTCAAGTTCCTCAAGGGTTGGGTGAAGACGAAGGTGCTGTGTTCATCGACATAGTAGACCTTTGTTCCGTGCTCCAGTCCCGCATCGGAGATTGCCTGGGAGTTTGTAAAGGCGATGCTGTAGAGCGGTTCTTGGACGCGGCCAAAGGTATCGGCCACAACGCCCAAGACCTCTCTCGCTTCATTACACAGCACACTTCCCGATTCCAGGACCTGGTATTCGCCGGGTGTGGCACCTTTGATCAAGGCCATGTTCTCCACCACGCGCTCCACATTCCCCAGCAACGTGATTTTGGTGGTGGGAGTGATTTCCACGTCCGGTTTGACGACGACGACGTCTTTGACCTCATTCGCCGTCCGGGGAGCATTGTCGGCGAGATTGCCTCCCTTCTTGGCCGCGCCTTCCTCCTCCTCCCCATCCCCACTCATGAGAATCTTTGCCAGAGCAGCGGGATCCAACATTTCATAATCCTCCTCACTGCCCTCATCGCTGGAAGAATCGTCGCTGGAGGATTCGGAGGAGGAGGATTCGGCGTCTGAGGAATCGAATTGCCATTCCGAGGCCTTGTCACCTTTTTGAGCAGCGGCAGCGGCGAGGAATTCGGGATCGTCGGCGGGTTTGACGCTATTCTGCGGGGCATCGATCATGAGGTGATCATCTGAGACGGGAGGATCGCGAGAGATTTGAGTCGTTTCCGAGAGGATTTTGTCCTCTGTCGCCTCGTGTGCTCCCTCGATCGCGTTCCCCTCTGCCACCAGATCCTCTCCCGTGGATATCGCCTCTGCAGGAATTCCATCTTCCGTTTCTGTTGTAGGAGGGGCAGGGTTGGGGTGAGAGTGTGGAGTTGGGGGAGCGAAACCAGTGCTGGGTGGTTCGGTGGCATCGCTGGTGGGTTGAGGAAGATCCGAGGAGATGGGAGCGTCGGTCGAGGAAGGTTCCGTCTCGGGCACCTTGGACTCTGCATGTTGATAAATGTCGTCCCAATCGTCCATGTCGGCCATTTTCTGCCCTTGCACGCGGGCGCGTTTCGTGGGGCGAGGACTGTCGGGCGCGTGTGCTGTAGGCGAATCGGACATGTAATGTTTGATGATGCTGATCAATGGATGGGGAATGCGGATGTTATAGAAGTGTGTTGCTGGACAATGTTCGTGGGTGTTCGAGGTCGAGAATGTTGTTCATGAGATTGATTCGTGAAATTTCTCGACCCGACCTCGCTCGCTCCCCACGTCATTTCATCTCACGCGTGCTGCATGGACAAGGGACAAAGTCCACGCGACAAGCATTGAAGCCACTTTGATTGCCATTTCATGCCACTTTCAACAAGAACATCGAGAACAACAACAACAACAACAACAACAACATGCCGCCCAAAGCAAAGAGCAAACCGGATCGAAGTCCCTCGCGATCCCCTCACCGTCCCACCAAAATGTCGGCAGCGATTCCCTTTCAGATGCCATCCAGCACCGCCTTCTACATCTTCCTGGCCAGTCATCTCCTCTCCGCCGTGTACTCCCCCATTCAAGACTGCGATGAGGTCTTTAACTACTGGGAACCCACGCRTTATCTCACCCACCAACACGCCTTTCAAACGTGGGAATATTCCCCCGACTTTGCCATTCGATCATGGACATATGCCGGAATCCATGCCGCCCTCACCAAATCCGCCTCCCTTCTCTCCCCATTCTCCAATTCCCCCAAAAAGCTGGAATTCTACCTCTTGCGCTCCACGCTGGCCGTCGTGTGCGCGGCGTGTGAAGCCCGCCTCTTCTCCAAACTGGCCGCCGTCCTCAACCCTCGCGTCGCCATCTTCTACCTGATCATCACCCTCACCTCCCCCGGAATGTACCATGCCAGCGTCGCCTACCTCCCCTCCTCCTTCGCCATGTACTTCACCCTGTTGGGCATCTCCGCCTTTGTGGACTGGAGGGGAGGTCTTCGCACCGCCCAGGGAATCTTCTGTTTCGGCACGGGAGCCGTCATCGGTTGGCCCTTTGCCGCCGCCCTCTCCCTCCCCTTTCTCTTCGAAGAGGCCCTCCTCGCCTACCTCTCCGATCTACAAGGAATCATCGACCTAGCTTGGCGAGTCGCAGATGGTCTCCTCCGACTGCTCCTCGTCCTCCTCGCTCAAATCTCCATCGACTCCTTCTTCTACAAGAAATTCGTCGTCGTCCCCTGGAACATCATCCACTACAACATCTTCTCCCCCAACGGTCCAGACCTCTACGGCACCGAACCCGCCTCCTTTTACCTCCTCAACCTCGCCCTCAACTTCCACCTCTGGCTCCCCCTCGCCCTCCTCTCCCTCCCGCTCCTCCTCCTCACCCACAAATTCCGTCGAAACACCTCCCCTCTCCGAACAAACTACCTCCGCGGAATCATCTTCACCCTCCCCGCTTACCTCTGGCTCACAATCTTCACCCTCCAACCCCACAAGGAAGAACGTTTCCTCTACCCAGCCTACCCCTCTCTCATCCTCAACGCCTCCATCTCCCTCCACCTCATCCTCTCCTACCTCGGATCCCTCTCCAAAATCCCCATCCCCATCCGCCTCACCATAATCCTAACCTTCCTCCTCACCACCCTCCTCCTCACCATTTCCCGCGTCCTCGGAACCTGGACCGCCTACTCCGCCCCTTTAACAATCTACAACCCCCTCCACAACACCACCCTCCTACCCAAGGGATCAGACACAACCCTCTGCCTAGGAAAAGAATGGTACCGTTTCCCCTCCCACTTCCTCCTCCCCACGGGCACAACGGCGAAATTCCTCCCCTCGGAATTCCACGGTCTCCTCCCCGGCGAATTCTCCCGCGCACCCTCCAACTCCGGTTTCGGCCAATTCCCAGGAACATGGCTYATTCCCTCGGGTATGAACGGCAACAACGAAGAAGACGTGGGCAAATACACTGATTTACGAGAATGTGATTTCCTCGTCGACTCCCAATTAATAAGTATGAAACCCACCGATCGAGAGCCCGATTATATTTCCAGTGCAGAGTGGGAGGAAATCTTGTGTGAGAAATTCCTTGATGCGGGTTCTACGTCGTTGATTGGAAGGTTGGGATGGTTGCCGGAGGAGGTTTTGAAGGTTATTCCTGGGGGGAGAGGGGAGAGGGTTTGGGGGAGGTATTGTTTGTTACGACGACGACAACGAGGGGGAATAAGGGATGGGGAAGGAGGGGTTGAGGGGTTGGGATTGAGGCCTGGGATCGAGACTTTGTTGTGAGGAATTGAATGGGATATTTGTATGTAAAGTGTAGGTGTAGGTGTATATTGAAATGGGAATGGGAAAGGCTATGGCTATAGTCCTAGGGAAGAGTTCCGCGGGTATCCTTCTTCTGTCTCCCTCTCTCTCTCTCGCTCTCAGGTATGGATTTGAATACACATAGGGTCCGGTATTAGGGTTCGTCGTTGGGGTTAGAGAGTACTTAGGGTTAGGGTTTATGTAGTGATATCGTTCCCACCTACCAGCCATAACAACTACTACAACGACGACGACGACGACGACGACGACATCCATGAAATAATACCTAGTAAATCTATACTACCTACCCGAATCTCTCTAGGAACAGCGTCGGAGTCGAAAGGCCTTTACCCAGGTCGAGGAGATGCTGTTTGTCATTCTCCATTCCCGATTCGATACATATATTGGAATTCGACTATGCCGTGCCATGCTGTGCTAGGTATTCTATGCTGTCTTCTCCTATAAAAGCAAGCAATTCGCACCCCTAAAATCATACATCCATCCTACTACCTACGAAATCATGTCGCTATTGACATTCATTACAAGGGAGAGACCTGATGAGAGAGAGTGTGTGTGAGAGAGAGTAGAAGGAAATGGAAGGGCAAGAAGATTGTGTCCCAGGAAGCACTTGCGGCGTGCATATCCCACGAACAGAAGAAAAGAAATGGAAAAAGGAACTACAATGATCAATCATAACTCATTCATTCAATCAATCACAACCACAACCACAATCACCATCAAACCCGACTCCTCAACCTCTCCTCCCCCTTCAACCGCCCCTTCTCCAAAACCTCCAACACCTTACCCTTCCTCCACTCACACCCCTCGGAAAATTCACACCACCGACACTTGACCGCATCCTCAATTTCCACCCCTCGAGGCTTCCTCTCCCCTCTCCACCACTTCATGACATCCTTGACGTAAATTTCCAATTCCTTCCCATCATACCCGAAACTCCTCGTCCCAAGCACTCTTCCCGTGTCACTTTTGCGGTATTCCGCGGTTAATAGATCCGAGATGTTGGAAGAGGAGATGTTGACGGAAATGGTTCGTGCGAATTCCGCTATCATGTGCGCCCATAAGGAAGATAGGGTCGTGTGGGCGAGAACTTCTTCGAGGGGATCCTGTTGTTGCTGCTGACTATTCTCCGGCGTGAAGAATTCGTCGTTCGCATCATTGGCTTCGTCGGAACGGTTGGTGGAGGAAGGTTGGGAAGAGAAATCTATACTCCCCATTGAAGCGATGAAAGTGTCGCTAAAGGGTTTGTTGGGATCGACATGGTAGCGTTCGAAGATTATCTCCGGGTCGACGGTATTGGCTGCGAGGTCTAGAAGCAGGCGGCGGTACATCATGAGTTGCATCTGTGTTTGCTTCATTTGAGCGGGTCGTGGGAGATTGGGCGTGTTACGGGTCTTGATATCCGTGAGGTAGAGCATGCGTGGTTTTCCATAGGTCGAGGTGATGCTAACGGCCGAGGATGGTGGTGGGAGGAAATCCGTGATAGAGCGCTGGTCAGCATCCTTCTTGTCCTTCTTACCAGCTTTCGCCGTCTCGAGCTTCTCAAGAATGCTCTGCTCCAATTCCTCGTCCGGACAAGTCTCCGTCACTTCATCAATGATACCAATCATGACTTCGCCCTCGACCAAACCCATGACCTCCAATTCCCTCGTCAAACCCGTGGCTCGTAACGTCCTCAATCCTTGAATGACATTCCACAACCTCAACCCAAACTTGTCCTCGTTTGTAGCAATCGCGACAGGCACCTCTGTATGCACCTCCATCTCCTTTTGCTTGTGAATCTTCGTGCCTTGCTTCATAGCCTTGGTAGTCGGCGTCTTTCCATAGTTGGTAAGATTATACCAAAACTTGACCTCACAATACCCCGGTCCCACCACATCCGTGACCGTCATGTTCTTCTTCCTCTTCGTCCTGCGGAATCGCTCAATCGGGGATCTCGTGTCTTCCTTGTCGGGTAATCGCCATGGGGAAGCTGGAGACTTGTCCGATGCTGCGTCTCCTTCAGCGTCGGGTCCAGGAGCTACAGATTGCTGGAGTCAGCGCGTCAGCTCAAGAGGATTGATTGAGAGGATTGTTTGAGAGGCTCAACCAACTCACACGTAAAGGAGACTCTATTCCTCTCATCATACTCGACTTCCACCGAAGACAGACGTTGCGCCCGCCGGCCACTCTCCAGCACATTCGCCTCATGCTCATCCCCATCATGTTGATCACCCGGCAGGCGCGCCAGACGCAGCGAATGGGTTTGCGCTTCCGGCTCGTCTGCAATTAATTCATTCTCCAAAACGACAATCTCCGGCACAGGTGAGTATTCGGTCTTGGTCAAATGTTCCACAATCGCCGAGTCCCAGTCGGATCCATAGTCGCTTTCGGTGGCGGCCAGTACGTCGATCTCGCTGCCGTATTCGTCGCTGTCGTCATGGATCATCGATTCTTCCGGCGCGAGAGTCGAGGGGAGTGAGGCCATTCTGCCATGACTAGGGTGGAATTGTAAATCAAGAGGTGAAGAATAAAGCTCCAGGCAGCGGGCGTGAAAGTGGCGACGCGCTTCGATTTAGCGCGTCTTCTTCGTTGTTACCCAGCCTAGCTATTGTATGAGATATAGTGCTCTCTTAATGTTGAAAATGCAGATTGGTCTGCTGTAATTTCTATCTCTATCCAACGTGCAGAAAAGACTCTTCCACTCTCTGCCGTGTACAGGGCTTCTAATGATACCTGAGGTAGCATCCCGAGTCTCTATTGCTTTCCCTTGACCACCTTTGCAACCTTCTTAGCCTCCATCTTTACTACCTCCTTCGCCTCCCTCTCGAATCTCGAATCCGCCTGCACACCCTTGAATCCCTTCTCCCTCTCCGCAGCCTCTTCAGCAGCCCGATTCAACCACGACAAATACGTCTGCCAGATAACTGCGAACATTCCCGCGAAGGCACTTCGACTATGCGGCGCAATAAACGTGAAAGAAAACGCCGTAATCACAGGCCAAACCTTCCAACTATTCACAAAACTCCTCGGAACCGTCCTCTTACACCTCTCCCAAGCCTCCCGAACCGACCCTCCAGCCAGCAGTGTCTGCATCCCAAAGAAATACGTATTAAACACGGGTGTAAAACACATTTGATTCACAAAAATCTTCACTCCCAAACTCTTCAAATGCGAGGGGTAATTGAAATGTCTCCCCAGCCATAAAAACCAGGTGTATGAAGGAATACTGCTAATGCCTCCGATGATCATGGCGCGGATTCCACGAATCGGTTCGTATTGTCCCGTGGAGAAGAGGGAGGTTTGCACGGTTTGAGCGGAGAGGTCGCCGAGGAAGTAGATAACCAGCGAGGTTTCAAATTGCGTGAGGTAGGGCGAGCGACTCTGCATGTTGGAGTAGGCGCGAAAGGGGATTTTGATCGGGTCCATCCAGGCGGAGTAGGTCCCTGAGAAAGGTTTGGGTTCGCTGGAGCCCGATGGCTTGCTCTGCTGCTGCTGCTGCTTCCCAGAGGACTTGGAGGAAGAGGAGGTGGATTCATGGCGTCGGGATATGTTTCGCTGGACGGTCTGGTGAAGGCGGCGCAGTGTCCGCCCAGCGAAAATTACAAATGTCATCTTCTTGGTAGGAGGAAAGGCATGGGTGGGAGAGGGTGTCGTTGTGTTGGGACGAACATTTCAATGTTTCGATATTTGACGTTGTCTCCGTCTGCGACGTCGGCCCGCGGTTAGAATTGGCGATTCGCGATATGTCGTGAACTAAGGTAAGGCAAGCCTGGCAAGGCACCATGGTACCTGATTGATCATCCGTGCAAAGGTGAGTCCTTTTATCCAGCCAGAATATCATAATCATACTMGGGATTGCAGACAGAAGCGCTTTCCAACAGCAAAATGGAGAAGGTTCTTCTGTATTCTTTGTCAACGGCAAGATTCATTACGAAGAGATTATCTGATCGATCAAGTCTTGGAGAATGCTCAGCGACGAGCCCGGAATGCTCGTGTGACGTTTCACAATAAACATCATGAGCATGAGCAGAAGATAGTCATCGCATGACTGACGGAGCTCTTTGTTGATGTTGTGAATGCTGGCGACGCGTAGAAAACACGCGTGAATTGCGCCCGGGTGGCGACTCAACAACCACTTGAGACGACCAGGAAAGATGAACAGTTTGTGAAGATTTGATCAAAGGACTTCTCCTTGTGCATGTTTCATTTTCATTATGATACATTGCATGCCGCTCTGTGCTATTCAGCCGTGAATGCACTGTGATATCTCAAGCCAAAAACACCCCATTTCCGTCACTCGGAAAGCCCTCTGAAACGCCGTAACAAATATTGACCCAAGCCGCCACCGCCCATCATACCAGTGTTCTGTGCTGGGTGAGGTCGAGGTGATCACTCATGAAGTCGTGTGATGAGAGATAGAGAGAAAAGTCGAGCCATCTAAGAGCGCTCGCCACGGAGACGGCGGGCAAGCTGGATGTCCTTGCTCTGGATGGTGACACGCTTGGCGTGGATGGCRCACAAGTTGGTGTCCTCGAAGAGGGAGACGAGGTATGCCTCAACGGACTCCTGGAGAGCACCGATGGCAGAGCTCTGGAAGCGGAGGTCGGACTTGAAGTCCTGAGCAATCTCACGAACCAGACGCTGGAACGGAAGCTTGCGGATGAGGAGCTCAGTCGACTTCTGGTAGCGACGAATCTCACGGAGAGCGACGGTACCTGGGTGGGATGGTTAGTGATTGTTGAAGTGAACAAAGACGCGTCGCCAAATGCTTACCAGGCTTGTAGCGGTGAGGCTTCTTGACACCACCGGTAGATGGTGCGGACTTGCGAGCGGCCTTGGAGGCGAGCTGCTTACGTGGGGCCTTGCCACCAGTGGACTTGCCTGTGATGGTATGTCAGAAGATGTTCAACGTGATGAAGTGTGGTGTGTGATGTCATGTGATGATCAAGTCGCAGTCGTGAAGCCAAGTGGCGACGCGACGGCGACGAAGACCATATTGCGACCGGAGCGGTGCGCGGCGGCGACGGTGAGTACTTACGGGCAGTCTGCTTGGTACGAGCCATTGCAGTGGTTGATGAAGTGTGATGAAAGGTGTGGAGTTGTGTTGCTGAGTGGTGGTGTTGATGGATGGATGTGGTTGGCGGATGTGATGGGGAAGAAGAGCGAGGGAACAGTGAGTATTTGAAGAAAGCGGGCGCGGCTGGCAATCACAGCATCAACTCACGTTCAGGAAACAGAACGTCAAGATCAAGCAATGGCGGACCAATGAGAGCAAACCGGGAAGGTCCGCGTGCGTGGTCCCTGCTTGTTTTGGCCAAGTCTAGCGCGACTGCTGTGATTTTTGGCGCGTCGCGACTTTGATCTGCTGCCTGCACTCGCGAGCCCCGAACTACAAAAGCAAACGTTTCCCCCACCAAACTAACTCCTCATCCACTCCATCAGCTTTCAACATCATCAACAAGCTCCCATCACTTCCACACCACTCCAAACAAACAACCTCCAACAACCAACTTCATCATGACTGGCCGTATGTCAYCACTTCATCCATTTCACACTTCATCAACATACTGACCTCCATCACAGGTGGCAAGGGTGGCAAGGGTCTGGGCAAGGGCGGTGCCAAGCGTCACCGCAAGATTTTGCGCGACAACATCCAGGGAATCACAAAGCCCGCTATCCGCCGTCTGGCGCGTCGTGGTGGTGTCAAGCGTATCTCAGCCAGTGAGTACCTTCTCATGTCACTCCCATCGAGCTTCTTCTGACATTCAATCCAGTGATTTACGAGGAGACCCGTGGTGTTCTGAAGACCTTCCTTGAGGGTGTCATCCGCGACGCCGTCACCTACACCGAGCACGCCAAACGCAAGACTGTCACATCCCTCGACGTTGTCTACGCACTCAAGCGTCAAGGACGTACCCTTTACGGTTTCGGTGGTTAAGCGATTGGTTTTTGGCGGTTCACAGATGCATGTTTTTACGACTCAGATATCCCATCAGCAACGACACGGCTCAGAGATAGCTGGCGATGGGCGGCGCGATGGGGAAGGTGTTTTATGCCAGCTGCTCTCAGCAAGGCTTGTTTTTGGAGTGTAGCATACCGGCTTCGAGGAGTTCAAAGGATAATTGAGCTCAAATGATACCACAACAGTCAAATGTTCATCACATCACACATTGCTTCCTCCGTCTTGTCTTCTCTTGTGACTGTTTTCAACGATCCTTCAAACTGACGCGTCTCTGTTTTGAGCAGGTACCACCGCGTCTTGTTGTGATCTTCCGGGTGAGCCCGGCGGAGAGCACGGTCTTCTTCTGGTGAAAGTGTCGGCTCTCCTTGAGAAGAACGACTGCAATGCTCGCCAATAGGCAAGGTAGCTACAAGCACGAAAAGAAGCAGCCTTGCGGAGAGTCAATGTCTCATGGAACAACGTCTTCTTATTTGTACTGCCGCTATTGCAGACGGCGTACAATATGTGGATGCTGCAGTAATTTTCAATTTCGGGCCTTGCTTGCTCGATGTGCTCGAACAATGAGCACTTCTTCTCTCACTCACGGATCATCTCTCATCAATCATATCTGCACAGTGCTTGCCTGCTGGGCTGATGCAGCTCCTCCGAGGTACGGCTTCCAATTCTGTCCTGGTAGCCGAACAGAGTAAGTAGTTACAGGGCGTTGTCGTTGCCTTTGCTGTACGACTTCCTACCTACATACACGTCTCTCCATTTCATCTCTCTGTTGTGTTCTCCCCAACATCAGCATCTTGAACGTCAACATTACAAAGTTGCTTCTTTCCATATCAATACCAGAACATTGCGAACCAAGATGTCCAGACGGACTGCCTTGGTGGCCCCTCCACCAAACCCGAACAAGAGGAGGGAAACCAATCCACTCGCCAGACCCGAACTTTTGAGAGTCAAATGCCTCTTCTTTGATGTGTTCGGAACATGCGTGGACTGGCGCTCATCCATGACAGATGCCTTGTACAGAGCAGTATGGGGCTCCCTCAAACAGCGCAGGAGCACTATAGATGGGCAAATCTACACCAAGGCTTCCGAAATGGTGCGTCAGTCTGAGACATTATTCGTGTGTTAAGCTGACCCCTCCCAGACGTACGAAGAATGGGGCGATCTAGCTCAAGCATGGCGAAACTCCTACCTGTCCTTCACAAAGTCCGTGGCTTTCGACCCGACCATTCCATTCAAGGCCATAGACGATCATCACTTGGAATCACTTCGTGTGATCTTGTCGGAGTACGGACTAGTCGCAACACGTAGAGTAGGACTCTCTGAAGATGTATACGAGACCTTTGATGCATCCCTCTTCACTGAGGATGACATGTACTACCTGTGTTYGGAGTGGCACCGTCTCACTCCGTGGAAGGATGTCGTCAATGGTATCCGCCAGCTGAACACTAGATTCAGGACCTTCACCCTCAGTAACGGTAATTTGTCGCTGTTGAACGACTTGGTCCAGAACGCCGGCCTTCCTTTCACGGGCGTCTACTCTGCGCAGATGTTCAAGACCTACAAGCCCAATTCAAAGGTCTATCTGGGAGCTGCCGAAGCGGCAGGTGTGCGTCCAGATGAGTGCATGATGGTCGCCGCTCATCTGGACGATTTGAAATTCGCCAGGAAGAATGGGTTTCGCACMATGTATGTGGAGAGACCGGCGGAGGAGCGTCATCCTCATCTGCGGTATGAGAGGGATTTGGTGGACATATGGGTGACCTTGGAGGAGTACGGCTTCATGGCGGGTGCTGAGAGAATCGGAATTGACGTGATACGGGAGCCAAGGCCCGGCGATATCCATAAGAATGATGAGCCAATTCTCGACGAGGAGACTCGTGAGGCTATGACGAGGACCAGAGTTTGAGCCCGCCATCACTGTTGCATTCGTTTGGTGGTCGGCGTAGCTATGATGGTGTGGTTGAGCTGTCATGAGGCAGATGGGGCAACCATTAGATCGACAATCATTCAATACAATTGTTATGGTGACAGGTTGCTTCTCTCTCGTTGTGGTGTGTGTTTGTACTGCTTTTGGGCGAATTGGTCGGGTTTGAATTGATATATGTGGTGCAACTTAGAAATGTGCAGTGAAGATTATGTATTGCTAGGTTGTGAGTCGATTTCCAAGGCATGAAAGTCAGGAGAATCGACWTCACTGCTCACAGAAGCACCAAACCCAGCATTTCCCGTGCAATAATATACCTGATATACATGAAGACATCACCCAGCGAGATTCAAAAGGTATGGATATCGATCTGGTCCTCATCTGCGTCTGTGGCACTACCCAAACCCTAACCCTGAGAGAAACAAGCTTCAGACCAGAACACGAAACGCGTTCTCGTCGGAATCTCCGACACTTCATCACTCCATTGCTCCACCGTCTCAGCAACGAGACCGTCATATTGCCGAGGAGTCTGGTAGGAGAGATGCTTTCGTCACGTCCATGCCGCCGAGCAGGCCCCCCACCCGACCATCTACTCGCTGCCGCCGAGACCGGATGCGTTTGGTGGTCTTAACAGGTTTAACTCCTCCATCCCACTCCCAATATTCACACCGTGCACCACGCCAGCGATGTCGTCGAGGCGATCACGGAAAGGTAGGGAACATTCGGAGTTAACTAGTAGGTATAGAACGTTTTCTTTCAACGTCTTGCATACGCGTGCACGTCTACATCATGCCCGTGAAGAAGACGCGACTTTTGCCACTCCACACGTCTCCAAGAAAACGCAGTGCAGACTCTTAGTTGAGACTTCACCTAAGCTCTGATGGCCGTGGAGGATGGCATCTATGACAGAGAAGGCCTTGGAAGCAGGAAACATTCCCACCTCACCTGCTGCATTCGCAGCCACACCCTCCCCGAAAGCCGACCAGCAGCATGAACCCTCGACCATGTACGACGACGCTGTGGAAAAGGAAGACTTTTCGGTGTTTACAGTCGGGCAGAAGAGGGCGATTATCCTGACAGCATCTTTCGCAGCATGGTTCAGGTGAGTGGTGAAGCCTTGCGTCGTCAACCAAGTCACTGACTTTTCACAGTCCCATGTCAGGTAGTATCTACTACCCAGCCACGACACAGATTTCCAAAGACCTGGGAGTCTCCGTTGCGGAGATCAACATCACAGTCACGACGTATCTGGTGAGCGATCCAAACACACTCAACCCAACCGAAAGCGCCAAAACTGACCAGCAGCAGATCGTCCAAGGTCTCGCACCCATGATGATAGCAGGCTTCAGTGACAAAGCTGGCAGAAAGCCAGCTTACGCCATCTGCTTTACCATTTACATCATAGCGAACCTGGCACTCTCGCTCCAGAACAGCTATGTCGCGCTCCTCGTACTGCGCATGTTGCAGTCTGCGGGTAGTAGTGGAACAATAGCGCTCGCGAATGGCGTAGTTGGGGATTGCATTGTCTCTGCGGAGCGTGGTCAGTATGTTGCATTTGCTTCGCTTCCAAGCATCCTCGGACCCAGCGTCTCTCCAGTACTTGGTGGACTTCTCAGCCAATTTCTCGGCTGGCATTGGTATGATCACGATCTCGCAGTGCTGAGGCTGGACTTACTGACATCCTCGCAGGATCTTCTGGTTCCTTCTGATTCTATCAGGTTCATTTTGCATACCATTGATGCTTTTCTTGCCAGAGACTTGCCGCAAAATTGTAGGCAATGGCTCCGTACCTCCTCCGTGGACAAGCTGGAACCTCAGCGATCGACGGCGGTTCAAGAAACGGGCTTCCAAGGGAATACCAGTAGATGAACAGAAGCTCGCTGATCTACGACAAAACTACAGAATCAGCTTCCCAAACCCCATGACGACTTTGGTGGTCCTGGCAGATTTCGAGACAGCTTTGATTCTCATCGCCACAGCATTCTCATACGTTTTATACTATGCCGTCTCCGCCGGCGCTTCGAAGAACTTCAGCACACTATATGGCTTCAACGAACTCCAGGTATCGCTCATGTTTGTGCGTATCAGATATCTTTGCCACGTCGATAGCCATCGCTAATTCATACAGATCCCCCTGGGCGCTGGAAGTTTGATATCAGCCTTCACAACGGGGATGCTAGTAGATTGGAACTACAGACGCCACGCAAAAGCCCTCAACTTTCCCATGGTCAAGAATCGACAAGTCGACCTTTCCGACTTTCCCATTGAAAAGGCTCGAATGCAAGTGGCAATACCCATGCTCTTCTTCTCGGCCGCGTCTTGCATCGGCTACGGATGGATGTTGACACATAAGATATCCCTCGCTGGGCCAATCATCATGCTCTTCATCCTAGGCTACGGCCTGATAGCAGGCTCCCAAGTCCTGACGGTGTTCATGATAGACATCTACCCAAGTCAACCAGCTACAGCCACTGCGGCGAACAATCTGGTTCGCTGTCTGCTGGGTGCTGGAGCAAGTGCGGCCATTACACCCATGAGCGATGCACTCGGAACGGGGTAAGTCTAGTTACATGGCAAGATTAAGGTAGACTTCCCACGAGAAGCTGACATCCTTGAACAGCTGGGCGTACACCATTTTCTCCGCCTTCCTGCTCCTATCCACCATCGGACCCGTAGCCAGCATGCGATACGGTATTTCTTGGCGAAAGGCCAAAAAGGACAAGGCTGCCATGCGGCAGAGCAAGCGAATGGCCAAAACGAAAAAGACAAACGAGGAGGCATCAGCATGAGCTTGAAAGGGCATGGTCACAGAGAGTACGAGGTCTGTACGATAGACAGCATGACCAAGGATTTTAATCAATCAAAAAAATGGATTGAGCGTCTCAAGAACCCATGAATGCCACGAGGCTGCCGGCGAACGGCAACTGACGATAGCCGTGGAGATCGATGTGCTTGCTCGTGCACTCCAAATGCCTGTCGCTGCGCCACCTTGGCACGTCTCTTATCTTCCACCTCCCCCTGACCGGTATCTCGCCGCCGCCCGCCGACCAGATGGGGCGATGCGAGCTAAATCAGAAAACTTCCGAAATGACCAGGCCCACCAAGCTCACAGACCTTCAAATCGGAAATATGTCACTGCAAAGGGCAGTTGCTATAATGCAATCAATGCACCGAGACCTTGTAAAGATCATCATCAAACTCCCCAGCACAACTACTAACCAAAGTTGAAAGACCTTGTGAAATGGGCGCCTCCTTTTTTCATAACGATAAATCTATCTCATGGTCTTGCAGTTCTGGGTCAAAAGTCTTCTCCTCCTCACTCATGATCCTGTGCCACATCATGGGAGTTTCAACATAATCTTTCCTTAGCCAGCCAGTAGCAGCAACAACGATATTGCACATGTTTTGTGAGATCCACTCGTCACGCTAGACTGCCGCGCCCCCTCCACTTGATGACACGAGGTTACCAGCATTATCAACCTTGAAGGTGGAAGCGAGCGCGGCACAGCACATCTGTCGGTTCCGCTTTCTCTCGCCAGTAGTGTTGGTAGTTGGTTGAGTGAAGCACCACGCCAGTACCGGGGAAACCGAGGCGGGTCAAGTGCCACGCGCGGATCGTTGGGCCGCATGCTTGGTCTGTGGGTGAAAGCAGAGGGCACTGTCCTGCCTGTGGTCCAGTGAGTGGAGTCTGCTCCTGTGGGAAATGGAGCCAATGCCTGTCGTCCTCGAATTCATCTCTGCATAATTCCTCTTTCCCAGTGGACCGTGCTCGAGATTATGCGTCCCCGAGCTTCCAGTCCCTCGAACATGGCCCGTCGCGGTGTTGATGCGCAATGAGAGCATTGCCAACAGGCCGGCGGAGCGCAACCCCGAGGGTCTTCAAGTCAAGGCTCATTTGTGCTCACAAGATCACGCACTTGCTACCGCCTCTTTCCTTGTCAGATCTTCGGTATCGCTTCTTCTTTTCGCGGTCCGAGTAGTGCTCGCCGCCATTTGGTCGTGGGGTTCGTGGAGTGTCGGAGTTTGAGTTTTTGTGACTGTTTCGTGAGGGTGCGCTGGCTCTCTGTCTCCGGAGCTGGCGGACGACATCGTAAAAGGCCTTTTCGACATTGACGCAATTCTTCGCGGATGCCTCAACGAACTCGCAGCCCAGCTGCTTGGCGAGTGCACTGCCTTCTTGCGTCGAGACTTCGCGCTCCGTGACTCTGTCGCATTTGTTGCCAACGAGCATGATTGGCGCGGGCCCGAAAGCCGAGCTGCCCATTGTTTGTGAAAGGGGAGAGCCGGGGTATGTTGGCGAGCCTGCCACCGATGACTCCTTCACCCGCTGAATCTGGTGGTGAAACTTTTGTATCCGTGTGAACGAGGAGCGTGATGATATGCTGTACACCAGTATGAAGCCCTCGCCATCTCTTATCCACTGATCGCGGAGTGCAGTGTATTCCTCCTGGCCGGCGGTGTCGAGGACCTCGAGCATACATGACTGACCATCAATCTGTACTTGCTTGCGGTAGGAATCCTCAATGGTCGGATCGTATGTTTCGACGAAGTGGTTCAGACATAGCTGGTGCAAAGGTCAGCGGTCATGTGCGATGTTGCTGTAGAGGGGGGATGGCATACCTGAATAGTCAAGGCTGTCTTGCCCACACCGCCGTCACCCAGCACCACCAGCTTGTATAGCGTCATCTTGCCGTGAGACATGGTGGCGGCTAATCTGCTTGTCCGGAATGTGGAATGTGGAGCAGCGGAGAATAATCAAGACTCCACTTGGAAGAGACGCAACAGTTAGCTAGCTGAAGCCTGGTAGCACACGGTGCTTGCAGCGAACGCTGATCCTGATCCTGGAAGCAGCGTACGGCGCCGAGTACAGACAAAAGCCAGCCGTCGCGCTGCTGTGTATCGCGGGGTGGCAGCGTGGCGATGCGCGGTCCAATGGCGCTCCGGGGGCAAAGTTGCACAACGCCGAAGTCGTGGGTGTAGGTGCAGGCGTGTGTCGTGAGAGGTCGTGGACCCCGAGCGTGAATGTCAAGTTGAGCGAGAAGATGCCGTGGTACGGTCCGGCGGGCGGGCGCAGAAAGACCGAACTTGTTGCAGCGGAGGAGCGAGTGAGCAACAACGATCTCCGGGTGGACTGGGGCCGGGAAGCTTTTAGAGGAAGCTAGGGCAGGAGGTGTTGGAAATTTGCACGTCGCAGGTTGATGGCGAGGCAGGATGCCTGGTGACAGGACTAGTCAATCAAATCCAGCTCCTGATCTGATGACGATTGAGGAGGTGGTGAAGCTGGGCGAGTGTGGTGTGCGTGAGTGCGTGGACGTGTGATGGCGTGGCGTGGCGTTGCGTGCGGCGTGCGGAGGTGGTCTACTCCTGCAAAAGGCGGAGCAACAGCTAGATATGCGGGCAGAAAATCCGTCCTGCTTTGAGCGACCTCGCCCTTTGTGGAGAATGAGGATGAGGTGGTAGTGGCCTTCGTAAAGAATCGCACTCGCGTGGAAGGGTACTGGGCAGAGGCGCCGAACAGCACGTGGCAGCAGAGGGGGTGGGTTCCAGATCAGTGCGCTTGCTTGGTAGTCCAGTCTCACCAACGGACGGGCCAAGACTCAAGTGCTTTGAGCAGGGTCACGACCAACGAATTGGTAGGTTGAGAGACGGCGCAGACGCCTGACACAGGATGTCGTGGTATGCACAAAAGCCCAAAGGATGGGGATGGAGGAGGGGGAAGAAAATCCACTCGTGGGCAGACTATGCAAAAAAAGAAGTCCAAACAGAGAGCTCTGCAGAGACTTGGGCGGCAGCAGCAGCTCGCAACTTTCACGCGTTCGCGACTATAACTAACACGGTCAGGCTCAGCGGGGTCGTTGTTCTGCTGGGACTGGGTGTGCTGGAACCCGTCAACGCCATGCCTCAGCAAATCCATCTCCATTTGGCCATGTGAGGCTGCCGGCCTGCGGGTGCACACATAATTTAAAGTGGGCTGGAGCACTACTCCACAGGAGACATGCCGCCTGCATCGGCACTGGACGCACTTCGAACGCCAAACGCCTCTGGCTTTCGGTACGCTGTTGGCGGGATGCTGTGTGGCGCCTTTGGGATTGCCATGCAATTCCCCATACCTCGCAGGATGAAGCCGTCGTTGCCAGAACGCTCCCCTTCGTATGTTGAACCACTCTCCCCTGGTGAAGGTACGTGAAAGTCCTTTCCCAACTACCCTTGCCTGTTCGGACTAGACTGGCCCAGGCCAAGGGTAGGCGACGGTGCCGCGGGGCCGCTAGAAACCTACCGAAGACACGATGCAGGCCTGTAGCGCCAATTCGCAGCTAGGGTACAGTTGACGGAAACGATTGCAACGACATACCATGCCATGGGGCACCACAAGCAGCAGATTCAGAGGTCTTCGATGGAGACATTGGCTCGGTGCGAGGATCCCAGCGGCCTTTGTCTGGACTCTGCGTCACGCTGCATATCCCCGAACGATGATTAAGATGAGCAACAAGATCGTCGAGTCCAACGATCGAATTGATCCTAGGACTGGGGAGCTGTTCTTGAGTCAGGAAGCGTGCAGGAGCAGCCGCTTATCTCGGTGCGAATATCAATCCACCGAATACACCGGAGTGAAAGTCCTTCATGTACCAGCCCTGTAGGTGGGAGCTAGCGATCCAATTCAATGCACTGTGGTGTACTTCGTTGTAGTTGAGGATTCAAGGAGTCCGGCAATATACACTGAATGGTCAGAGGGCAGACGAGGCATTTGGAGGATTTCGCTCCGATGCCTGAAGACTGGAGAGGATGCAGAGCAAGGTCGCGAAATCAGCACCCTGTCTTGGGTGTKTGTACTATAATCTGTCAGCTAGCAGACGTACTGTAAGTTGACCAGTGCCGGGGCTGCATGCTTGAGTTGAATAATGCAGACCGTCCGTTGCACAGTTGACCAATGCGATTTGCACATGGCTAGCTWTCGGGTACACGCTCTATGCTCGCAAAGCTGCACAATTTGTGCTCCCAATGCCTTGCCAATGACTGCAGAGTCCGTCGAACATGATGACGCTGGCGCTCGCTGGCGTGGAGGCCCGTTCGATGCAAGTCTTTTGGAAAACCATGCAGGTCGGTGTGTCTTGGATGATCAGCCCTGCTAGGATCRTGACAACCACCAGTGAGCTGCTGTGGATCCAAGGCCGACGGGCTGTGTCCTTTGCTAGGGTAGCCCGGCACGGCAGCATGGCTCGAAGCTGCCGAAACCAAAGGCGACAAGCGTCTTTGTATGAACACATCCAACCACATACTCTCATCTTAAGCTTTTACTTCTGCTCCGTGCCCCCCGTCGCGGGTGGTAAGGTCATGCATGTTCAGAGCTGAGCTGCTGTACAGGCCTGTCATTTCATCCGCCCCTTGGCCCACAGCACGGCCAGCTTGTGATGGTTGAGTAGCGATGTGTGATGAATGCGTGGCGAAACGACGGCATTGGTGCATCCGCCTCGGCGTCCATCGCTGCGCAAGGGCCCGCAAGAACAAGTGAGTGACGACCTTTGTAGGCTGCATTAACGTCCAAGTGTGTGCGGTGAGACAGTAACATAGCGGTACCAGCCAGTCCGCTTGCCGCGCTGCACCTGCACCTGCTACAAGAAGCCTGCCATTTCCAGCCGAGAAGACTCACGAGAAGACGAGCTCGCCTAAATCGCACAACATTGCGGGTATCCGCAGTCGGGCGTCGTCGCGTCCACACCCTCGGGTCGACAGCTGTCTCAGAACAATGCCATGTGCCATTGTGGTGGGATTGATGAATCGCCCTCGCGAAGCGCCCAGATATGTGGACGGAGATGGGATCGGCGGAAACAACGCCCAACCGCGTGGCTTCATCGAACCCACGGATGATAGGCGGCTGTGCGGCAAGTTTCGCTTCACAAAACACCTCACCTTCATCATCAGTCTTCCCGTCCCACCGCCCCACGTAGCGGTATGCATGTCTTGCCGGGAAAGTCGTCGCATACATCTCATCGATGGAATTCCCTTCGCAGCGTCAAAATCCCACCAAGGGATTTCGACAGTTTCGAATCGGCACTAAAGCACGTYATCCCACGTCCGGCTTCCATTGATTGAGCGGGTGTAACATGCAGTCGTACTGCGGGCGCTCCTGAAGCCTGTACGTGCAGAATCTGGTTTGTGATCGCTGAAAGACATCGCGGATCGCCGGCCGCGGCGGCACCGCAGCCCAAACGAGCCATGGGCGTTTGGACGCGAGGAGGAGAGAAGCGCATCCGGATCGCATGCGACTTRTCTCCTGTGCCTGAACATGTGCGTCTTGCGTCTCATCCGACCAGCGACGAGGCTCTAGGAAGGCAGCCAAAGAAGGATTCAGCAATCTCAAACTGGCTCGTGTGTTCTCGGTGCCGGCACGAGAAACGATCAATATTGTGGAGTCTTGCATGCAGGATCCTGATGTCCTATCACCTGGGTTTGGTTATGAGATGCGAACAGCTTCGAAACACATGGAAATCCCGGAATCTCGCGTGGTGAGCAGGGAAATGCTTGCTTCCCAACCAGCTGAGAATGTGGATCGCGATTCACACTTCTGGCAGGTGTGCCTGGAACTGGCCTTCCGTACGGCAACATCGCTGATGAGGTGCATCTTTTCTTTGCATCGGACGTTATTGAGAATCATGTAGCGGGCGAATCAACCCCCACGGGATTGTAGCCAAAGTGGGGCTTTGACGATCAGGAATAACTTCCGATGCAAAGAGACGCTGTATCGGCATCTTTGAACAATGTTCCGACCATCGGCAAGGTCCTCAACGTCGATGCCGTCGAGAGCTGTGATGTTCCAGGATAGCCCTTGAATGGAACTTGAGCTACGAGCAATATTGCTCCCGTTCTGCAGCGCATACGCAATCAGCGAGGCAAATTCCGAGCCTGACATTGACGGTCGTCGTTCTCGGGCGACCATTTCTTGAAACCGGGCGGGAGTCCAAAAGTGAGGCTGAGCGAGCATGTGAAAGAAGGGAGCCTGGCCAGTGGAGACAATCTCTACTATATCGCTGCTTCCGGGAATGGTGAGGGTGCCTGACACGGGTCTTGAGGCATAGTCGGAGATGCAATCATTGCTGTCTCATGCAAGCCCATACATCACTCTGCTCYCTTTCCGGGCGCAAATCATCAAGAATACCAGGAACATCTCCATCAGTTAAGTTCATCTTGGAATGTGAAGTTTCGAGAGCTGTGGATGTTCCGCCTTCGTGAGTATTGAAATGCCTTTCATGGAACTCTTTTTGGCGGCATGAAGTTCAAAGACTGATTGAACATTCATCGCTCAGGGTATGAGGCCTAGGAAAACGTTTGCTCATGATGCTTCCAGACAAGTTGATCGACAGACACAAAAGATTGGGAGCAAACATCCTTACATGAAAGCGGCATCTATCAGACCTTGCTATATCTGTCGTTTGCGCTTGACATTTGTTTCAGCATGATCACAAGAGCGATCGTAAGGACCAAAGTATGGAAAAACCACAAGGTATGAATGTTCTTCAATGCTCGCCACATTCCTCGACTGGGGACATACGGGATGCTCTTATCGCACGTATGCGAGCACACACCGCCCGTCAGCTGGAGCAAGAGTATCCCTGGATGGCCAAGCCGGCCGTGAAGGAACTATCAGACGAGGTCGCCTCCTGTTTTGAAAAGGGCATCATTGCTCAGTAAGTCGTCAATCACATGGCCCTATTGCGTTGTAGAAGCGATACTGATCTCCTTTCAGCGAATCTGTGATAGCCCTCGCAAAGCCTCGTATGAGCTTCCTCAAACTGCCGACAGAACTTCGTAACATTGTATATGGAATGGCTCTGAATGATCATTCCGATGATGGTCATGGCCAGGTTGTGCTTCAAAGAATCATCATCGCAAGAAACGAAGATAAGGATGATTTCGAATCACAAACCGCTGCAGGCACATTCACGCACACGCCGGCTCTCCTGATGGTTTCCCGCGAGATCCGGTCCGAAGTAGAGCCTTTCTACTACGGCAGCAGTACTTTTATGGTGGAGGTTTCTGCGGACATCGTTGCGGATAAAGCTCAAAGCTGGCTCGAACACGTTGGGAGTTACGGTCGCTCAATGATCAGAAACCTCATCATCAATTTCATCAACCTAGATCGCGTTGGACTGATCAGTCTACTGTCAGACAGCGCTCATAGCCACAAGTTTTGTGAGTGTCTCCGGATCCATGACGAATTCTTGACCAGAGAGAGTAGCCCATCCTACCTCGATATTTCGATGCCGCAGAAGCTTCGCAGATCTGTCTCCTGGATCAAGGAGCGCATCCAGATCGACACAACTGGGGTTGCCGAAACTGCGATTACAGTCCAGTTCAGCTCAACATTCGACGAGACTGCATCGCTGTCGCCAACAGAATTGTTTTGCGCATTCTGTTACCGGTCGGGAGAGCCAGACAATGACAGGTTTCGCAATGGAGTATGCAATGGTTGCGAGATTAGCCGTGTAGAAAATGGTATGTGCGTTGGACCGTGGGCGGTAAAGCCGAGGCATTCAAGAAGCAAGTTTGGGAGCTAGAGGTCATTATTGGACAAGCTGTGGATGGATGAATGACTTCGCTTTGTGAAGGTACAAGCGGCCGTGCACTTTCACTGCCTCGACGTAAGTGATTTCTACATGTGGCTAGCGTGGTCTTAGTCCCTTCAACGCCCGACTCTTCCACGAACAAGCCGAGACATCCACAACATCACTAACAAACTTCCAACTCACGATGGATTCGCCAGGTGTGATTCCAAACGTGGCCGGCTCGCGCACTACAGGTCCCACACTCAGCACTTTCGAAGTCAATATCAGCCGTGAAATTGACTCGACGAATGCTAGTCCGCCTAACGCCCCCAGAGCCGACACGTGGTGAATTCGGGAAGAAGCTGTGGCTGACGGAGAATGCGGAGAGCTGGTGGAGGAATCGAGTGCATAGTCACATATTCAATGATATGCCATGCTGAGAAGGCAAAACGAACTTGGGAGACACACACATGTAGTAAGTATGTGGCGCTACGAGTAGATTCGGGAGGTAGGAGGATCAACGTTCGAGACGGTATGAGCACAGGGATAGACTGAGAAGCTTCCGGAGCGAGGCAGAATGCAGCCTGAGGTTGGACAGTCAGGCGATAATGTAAGCGTTATATCACCTTGAGTGTCAGTGCAAGCTTACACATTTTCGGAAACAGGGGACCAGAATGCCGTCGAAGTTACCGAAGCAGCGCAGAAGCCTGAGTCTCCTTCATCATCCAAGTCCTAGTGCTCGCCCTAGCCTGAACAAGAAAGCCTGCAACGGTGAGGCCCTATGACTTCTCCTTCACCTCAACCAACCCCTTGAGATCCACCAACCCTTCCCTCGCTGGCGAGAACTGCCTTAGTTGCACACCCGCCTCCTTCAATATCGCCGCGCTCGCCTCATCCATGTAATAACTCTGACTATACACGACCTCCGTAATTCCAACCTGCACAATCTTAATCGTGCACGTCAAGCAAGGACACGTGTTGCAATACAACACCGCTCCATCCCCAACTCTCTCCCTCCCGGCTTCTAGCAGTGCGTTCTCCTCGGCGTGGAGACAGAGGCATGTCGCAAGATCTCCTCCACCAGAGAGCCCAGAGACTCCACGGCCATTACATCGAGGACACCCGCCTTCAGCACAGTTTGTGATATGCCGAGGCGTACCATTGTAGCCTGTGGAAAGGATGCGATTATTCCGGACCAGAACGCAGCCGACTTGGCGACGCATGCAGTTGCTTCTACGAGCAGCCAAGGAGGCTAGGGTCATAAAGTATTGGTCCCATGTTGGCCGGAGGCGAGACGGATCCAGGAGATTCAAGGCGTCTAATGCYGCATGAAGAGTCTTGAGAGACGAGGTGGAGTTGAGGAGTTTGATCTGTGCTCGAGAGGCGAGGGTGGCTAGACCTGATGTTCCGGAGTAGAGGTTTTCATCTAGTTGGAGGACAAACTGCTCCAGAGTTGGTTTGGGGAGGGAAGAGCTGAGGCATTTTTGTTGGTAGCGGGCCCAGCGGACTGAGATTGGAGCATCAATGTGAAGGAGGATGAAAAATGGTCGGGTGGAGAGCTTTTCTGCTATGCTTTCAGAGTGGATTGAGGTTGTTGCGAAGTTTTGTTGCCAGTTTTGGGTGGCGTGATGAAGGAGAGCGTCTATGGTTGGAAAGAATTGGATCGATGTTGATGTGCTCTCTCCTGCTTCCAAGTCCGATTTTGAAGTGAGGGAGAGGACTTGGAAAGCGTGGTTGGAGACAAGATAGTCGAGAATGGAGTTTTTGCCAGCGCAGATTCCTGGAGGGCGTTAACGAAGATGTAGTGATGGAAGGAGAAGATGCCGTTGATACCGCCACAGATCCCGATGAGCATGATATCGATGTCGTTTGAAGATGATGAATTTCCGACGCGTCGCGTGCTTGCGCGAAGACGTGGGATAGAACTATGGCCCCACTTGTGCAACTGGGGAGCTCTCCGCCAGGAACCGTGCTTCCAGGATGTGACCTCCTCGACCTCATCGCGTGACTACCATCCAGACCCGACGACCTTCACAACAAAGGCGCGTGCTGAGGACAGAATGACTCGTGGATGAGGCATCTCGACGACGTCTTCTGTGCCATCGTCTCATAATCTCCCCCCACATTCTATCGCCGTCAACGACCCCTCATCGTCTACCGTGACATAACAGCATCGAGCTCCCCCATCTCACCATCACACGATGCCGGCGACGCTGGTGCCTCTCCAGTATGCGCCCTTTGTCTCCGACATCGAGTTGGCCTTCTACTCGGCCCTGGCCTCGCTGAAGATCAACCACGATAAGCTCGATTCCTCAGCACGAAAGGTGCTTGGGTTGTATGAGATCAGCCACAAAGATGCTCCCGAACGATCCACGCGCATGCAAATTCATGGCACTGCTCTGACCAGCGACGAGTAAGTAGTGGGTCGTTGAAGGTGGCAGGTCCTTCAACACATATTGACAAACATGGTCGTAGCCCACCTAACGGCATATACCGCGCCGAGGGCCTCATTCGCAACTTCAACACCATCGAGGAATTTCGCCAGGTCGACAAGGCTCAGCATATAGAGCGTGCTGGTCGCATGATCTGGGATGCCATCAAGGACGGCACCATCTACTCGTGTCCCTCCCTCCTCTGCTCATTCTCGGCCGTTTGCTTTGCAGACTTGAAGAAGTACAAATTCACATATCATGTTGCATACCCTGCACTTCATTCAGACCCACAGTGGAGATTGGTCGCAGGCAGTGACGATTCAGAAGACGCGATACAGAAGTTGGAGGCGAAAGAGACGACAACCTTGGTTGATGCGGTGCAAACATGGCGATACAGCGTCGACACACGGCAGCACGGCTTCTTCCTCGTCAAGCGGTTGCGGAAGACTGTGCTGGAACAGCAGTGGAAGGAGAATAGGGGCGAGGTGGAAGAGGAAGCAGACGATGGCAATCTCAACTTCAAGGCGCAGACACGCAAGAAGTCAAGATCCTCAAGCTTGACGGAACTCGGCTTCCTATGGTGGGTCGGTTCGCTCTCGAGTTACGAGAATGGCTTCTTCGACAATGCGGAACCCGAGGATCGATTCGTTTGCTTCGCGGATCCCTCGACCTTTACTCAAAACCCAGGCTGGATGCTACGGAATCTGCTGGTTCTTGTACGGCAGCGGTGGAAGCTGGATAAGGTACAGGTGCTCTGCTACAGAGATACACATGCTCGACGGGAACATCCAACTTCACTCATCATGAATCTGCAATCCGCAGAACCTGTCTTCGACTTCACAAACGAGGAGAAGCTGCACGCAATGACATCAATGAGCGGGTCCACAGCCTTCTCGCCCGGACAAGTAGACCGATTTGGTGAGCTGATCCCAGATAAGCCGAAAGAGGAGTCCAAGCCAACGACGCTTGCAATAAGACCACCTCCAGAAAAGGCAATCCAGTTCCCAAAGGTCACTGGGTGGGAGCGCGGTGATCAGGGTAAGATCACGTCCAGGACTGTTGACCTCGCAGCATATCTGGATCCCTCAAAACTGGCGGATCAAGCGGTAGATCTCAATCTGAAGCTCATCAAATGGCGGATTTCGCCTTCAATTGATCTGGACAGTATCAAGCACACCTCCTGCCTTCTTCTCGGAGCTGGAACACTCGGATCGTACGTGGCGAGGAACCTAATGGGCTGGGGTGTGCGCAAGATCACCTTCGTGGACAACGGAAGAGTGAGCTACTCGAACCCTGTCAGACAGCCCCTGTACGACTTCAAGGATTGTAAGAACGGCGGTGTTTGGAAGGCGACTCGAGCTTCGGAAGCTTTGTCAGAAATCTACCCGGGTATAGAATCCCAAGGTGTGGTAATGAGTGTGCCAATGGCCGGGCATCCGATCCTCGACGAAGAGAGGGCGAAGCGCAGTTACGAGCAACTAAGGAAGCTGATCGAAAGCCAMGATGCCATCTTCCTTCTCATGGACACACGAGAGTCACGGTGGCTACCCACGCTAATGGCCAAGGCAGCAGGGAAGATCGTCATCAATGCCGCGCTGGGATTTGACACCTACATGGTAATGCGGCACGGTATGAGACTGCGTCCAAGATCCGCATCTCTAGCAGGAGGCTCATCGAAGGAAGGAGAGGTTATGGTCCAAGCCAACGACGAAACCGATCCACTCAAGGCAGCCGCTTCGGACCCCATCAATCTCGTGACCAGCGGCGGCACCAACATCGACCCAGAGGAGCTCGGCTGCTACTTCTGTTCGGATGTCGTGGCGCCGGCAGACAGTTTGAAGGCAGCCACCCTTGACCAGCAATGCACAGTCACACGGCCCGGCGCTGCACCAATCGCTTCCGCACTCGCCGTAGAACTTCTGGTGAGCATCACACAGCATCACCTCAAAGGTCGCGCACCCGCACCACCAGCTCTCACATCTACGGCAATCGCTTCCGCACCCTCGACGAACCCTGAAGACGAGGGAAGCCATCCACTCGGAACTGTACCGCATCAGTTGAGAGGGTACATGAGCACCTGGCAGACGCTGCAAATCAAAGGCAAGGCTTATGACTGTTGCGCTGCATGTTCCGACGGGATTGTGAGGGCCTATGAGACGGATGGTTGGGAGTTCTTGAAGAGGGCACTCGGCGAGAAGGGGTACGTGGAGAAGATTAGCGGGTTGGAGGAGGTGCAGAGATTGGCGGAGGAGGCCGCTCGTGCAATGGAAGAGGACGGCGAAGATGACTGGCCCGAGGAGGACGAGGAGGGGGAGATGGTTTGATGAGGGATGTATTATATGCATGATGGGTGAGGTAGAAGGAGTGAGTTCTGGCTGTGTACGGGCGATTATTTCCTGACCAGCAAGGCGGAAATGTTGCTTCCGTGGGTCAAGTTATTCGATGAGCAGAAATGAGGGGGTGAGAGAGGCCTTTCATTGCAATGGCCTCCCATCCAATCTTCAACATCATATTCGAATCCTCGTCTCCAGTACTTTCCATCAAAGATTCAAATTCCCACCAACTCCAACGCCACTGGTCTGTCTCACATGCGCCTTACTTCCCTTGAATAAACTCTGCCAAATATACGCCTCACTAAGCAGAAGTTCCATATCCTTCTCTCCCCACTCCTTGGTCGGTAGACTCTGCAGAAACATCATGATTTCCTGGAAATCCATCTGCAGCAGTTTATCCGACCATTTCACCAGAAACGCCGCGCAGACGTAGAGGTGGAATTCAGAAAAACCTTGATCTTCGGCCTGTCCTTGTCGTCAGCGCRACACATTCTGTTTTGAATCTGGGGAGGAGATTGACTCACGAGATAGGTATCCCACATCCGCACCGTGTTCCTCACACTAACCTCCCGCATCAAGAGGCAATTCATCCACCGGAATGAAAATTGTATAAACTCCACACCTTCCTTTTCCATATGACTCGCCAGTTTCCCATCAATGCGACTTGTCAAATCCCGCAACGCAGCAACTTGTCGCTGAATGCCAGGTTGAGCATGGATGTAGTTGTCCTGTATACCATCCAATAGTTTCGTCAAACACCAGAAACTGTCCGCTTCCACGGCATCTAGTACTGCTCGAGGGAGTTGTCCCGGGTCCATTCCTGATTCTACATCGGGATCTGTAATGTATTGGCCGAGAAAGACTTGCCAAAAAGGTGTGACGAGGTCGTTGATTCCTTGGACGTATCCGGACGCCGGGTGGCGAATTGCCCAGACATAGAGGATACGTTCAAGGCTCCGTTGCGTGGCTTCGTATTGGTATAATTCGAGGTGTGGGTTTGTGCGAGGGACATCGATGCTGATTTGATGCCATATGACTTCGTCTAGGCCTCTGCCACGACCACGAGTGGAGTTAGGTGATTGAGTAATTCCCGAGGCTTCGACGGGACGTTCGGCTCCTGCTGTTCCTCGTTCGAAGGCTTGTCTTACCCCGTCGAGGTATTCCTTCCGTTTTCGTTCGAGAGTGGCGACGCGGCGTTCTGAGGAGGTGGGCAGGTAGTTTAGGAGAATCTGCCAACTCATTGCACGGACTTCGGAGGGTAGGCCTGACCAGGCGGAGTCCCTTAAATCGGGGAGGGATATTGAGGAGGCTTGAAGGATCTTCTTGAACTTGTTGAYTCGGGTGATTCGAGCGGAATGGGCATCCATTTCCTTTGCAGATGCATTGGGTGAGATAGTGGGATGTGCTATGAGGTGAAGGCTGTTGGCTGGATCGCGTAGAATGTCTTTGTACTGCGGACGGAGGATCTTCTGGCCGTCGGTGCTCTTCTTCGTGGTAGGATATGACGGAATGGCTCGCTCTTCGGCCACATCCCCATTGTCCAGCGCCCAGGCAGACAGAGAACTGCTGCCACTCTTCCCCAATGTGCCTCCAAACCCACTGCTACTTCTCCCCAGCCCGAAGCTGCCTCCACCACCTGCATCTCTGCCCTTGTTCTTGGCCAATCGCTTTCCCTTCCGGCGCATGCTCGCTATGCTCGGCAGTCCAAATTCATCCTCCTCCTCGTCCGCGCCCACCTCATCATCTCCATCCTCGGGATCCCACGCATTGCTCGTTTCGGAGAGGTAGCTACTGGGATTGCGTCGCGCAGGTGGCGGGGAAATGGTTGATCCTGCGCCAGGTGACGGTGTATTCCTGGAGTTGGACGGATTGGAACGAGGATTCGAGGGCGGTGTGCGCGGTCGAGAGTCGCCTGAAACAGACCTTCACGTCCAAATGTCAACACTTTTGCGCGATGCGGTAGGAAGAAGAGTTGCCATACAAGTTCCCGATGTTCAAGATGTCGGCATGGGAGTATGATGCGCCAATCACTTTCCGCGGTGGCTCTCCAGCAGGTGTTTCACTGTTCTTGCGCGAACTGTTCGCGGATGTGGTTCGCCAGAAGGGAGTTGTGGTACTGAGAAGCAATGATGTGAGCCATTACACTCGGCACGTTCGTTGATGGGTAAAAGGCTTACTCGTTCCGATCTACAAATGCCCAAATATCGCCCATGTCAGCGAGGTCCCGTTCAATTCCCTACGCTGGYGACGGAGGAGGAAGAGGAGGAGAAGGAGGAGGACTGTGGAGGCGGGCAGATGATCGTACCAACTTCTCTCATCTCTTGTGCCCGGGGGCTGGTAGTCCTGGGGTTTCGAAAGTTCATGGCAGGTGGCTGTTATGCGATCGTCATCTCATGATAGGTACATGCAGAAGTTACAATGGTAATTGTTCAATTCATTGTGTTGCCATGTACATGTTGTATCCAGATTGTATACATCTCGGTTAGCTGCACCCACAAGGTCATGCATCGCGCCGCCCCACTTTGTTCCCCACGTCTCGTGATCTCCAATGGCCTCCACAACAACGTGCTTCCAGAAGACCAACGAGAATGAGGTCTAGATGTCACACATAAGTTCCGATAGTTGGGTTCTGATAGATATGAAATCAATAAAGGAGACCTTGCATTGGGATCAGAACGAAGCAGCATTTGACTTATACTTTGATCACCATCACGACTTCTATTCCCCAACACTTCTCCCCAAACCCTCTGCCTTCTCCGTAGTAGCAACAAGTGCCCGATTCAACGAACTTCTTACACCTCCCTCCTCCATCTTCAATACCCCAACGATTGTCGATCCACCCGGGCTAGTGACACCATCTCTGACCTCCATCGGCGTGCAGTTACCCTCGAGTATCAAGCTTGCCGTCCCACGCATAGCCTGTGCAGCCATAACCACCGCATCTGCCCTCTTGACACCCATCGAAACAGCACTATCAACCAACGCATCCACAATGACTGCAAAGAACGCGGGACTCGATCCGCAGAGCGTTGTGCAGACGTTCATCAGTTCAGGTTCGATGTGACGGACTGTGCCAACGCAGGTGAAGATATAATCCGCAAGATCAAGCATATGCTGTGGGATCAAGGTTGGTGGTTTGGGAATGACGGTCATGGAGTCTCGGACTTTGGAAGCGGTGTTTGGCATGGCGCGKAGGATGTGACAGTCTATTCCTCCCAAAGTACTTTGGATATCTGACTCGGACACTCCAGCTAGGACGCTGATCAGGAGTTTCCCGTTGAGTGCTTGAGCAATACCCGACTCGGCGAGAGCTTCCGTGTAGAGATGAGGTTGGCAGGCCAGAATGACGACATCTGCTTGTTGGACGGCTTGGAGATTCTCGCAGACAGATATAAGTAGGTGTGGCAGTAAGTTGTGGTTCGGATTGAGGATGGTATCAATGTACTCTGCGGCCGCTTCTCTCCGGACACAGGCTATGAACTTAGAGAATGTATTCGAGCGACTGGAGCCTGACATCGCGTCAAGGAGGCCGGAAAGTATTGCGGTTCCCAACGCGCCTGCATGGAATAGTCAGATGACCGTGTACGTCGCGCGGGATCGGTATGTACCCACCGCAGCCAAGAACTGTGATTGTGGACGCAWTGCAACTTTTTGGGGCTGTATAGCTCATTGTTCCTCGTACGGTGTATGTTGTATGCTTTCTCGTAGTGCTGGCAACGATTYGACGAACCAGATATTGAAGTTCTCTTCGGGAGTGCGTGTAATCATAAATGCAACTTACGAATTGACGTGAGCGTGGAAAATGCTATGCTATGTCTCTCAGCTTAACCAGGATGACATGAAGATGAAGAGATGAGAAATAAGTATGGGCAAAGATAAACCCCGGCGCCATGGCGAATGTCCGGCTGAACGACGCAAATCGGCGAGAAAGTTTACCTTTTGGTGGTCTGCCAATCTCTTGCAGGCGTCCAGTGAGTGCTCGGTGGGAGCAGCCAAACCCAGTCAATGGCTATAGAATAGCTAGCGCGTATGCGTGTGGGTTCTCATGGCGGACGTCTTGTAAGCCTCTTCACAGCGTGCATCGGTGATCGAGCCAGTGAGAATGGAATTTCAGGCCTTACGAGCTGTTATTTGAGAGACTCCACGGATTCTGATTCCCGGATGATCAATGTTTCGCCGCTGTCTTGGATGTGAAATGCACGATGGATTGCATGGCTTTGCCCTAGCGAATTGTCTCTATTGTGCTGGCAGCAGCAACCCGTGGCTGCATCCGGGATTGCTTATCGATCGATTCTCGCAGTTGCGAAGCATATGACGTGCAGCCAATGTTTGGATTATGGCTTGTCAATGATGACAACGAAATATATGGAAAAAAGAAGAGATGCCTCGATTGTCGGTTGTTGGTGAAGTTGAAGCTGATGGAGGCACGAGTGCTGCAGGAAGGCACGAGACAGCGCTAGCCTGATCAGGTGCAGCTAAACCTTGATTTCCTTCCTCTTYTT